TCTCCATATATCCTTCTCATGCTACTAATTTAGTCAATTCTCTAAGAAAATATTTAGGAAAACACAATAAAAGTATACGAAATTGTCTAAAAGTTTCAAACTTGCTCAAAGCATTATATAAACTCTCAAAATCATTTAGATCTAGAGTGTTTGAAAACATGTATTTTATATAGGAAACAATTTAAGAGCAATATATAGAAGATCAGAGATTACTACAACTACAATCACGACCTGGTGGAATCCTCCTACTGTAGACTCCCACCTAATCCAGTCCTATACTGCAGAACTGACAGAAAGTGAGCTGACTCTCAACATGACCGAAGCTGTTGGGAATAACACTAACTGCACCTTTTCTTCTAAGTTTCTGCCTGGTTATCTGTATTATTTGCGAATCGCCTCTAACGTTCTACTAAGCGATCCTACGGAAATTTTTGCTGTAACAAACACGATACCTTTTGTTGTTGGTAGGTTTTGTATGGTTTTTTTTTAGCTCTTCAATTCATGCTTAAGTCAATTTAATGTGTTTTCATTGATACTATTTGAGTTGCGTCAAGCGAAAGGGGACTTTTGTACGTGACGTAAACGTAATTACGTCACAATAGAGCTTCAAAGAAGTGACGTCGCGCCGGTGCGTTTGTCGATAAAAAAATCATACGATTAAGCAAAACAAAAATTTATTTGCGTAATACTTATGTTAAAAAAAGACACGCCTATAACTGTCCGAAAAAAAAATGTTTAATGTCGTCAATTTATAGATTTACTAGTAATTTTTCCAAATTAGTTTTTTAACTAATTTAATTTTTGATAGTTCATAAATGGCCTTATTCATAAGAAGTGAAAAATGTCTATGAACAAATCCATGTACGTTTTTACCTCAGTAATCTGTGTACGTGAAGACAAGATTTCGCGGCTTTGACCTTTCCGGCTGAGCTCCTGACTCTATGTATAGATAAGTGGTCTCCTGCATTGAAATCAATGTTTTTTTAAATTATTATATATATATATATAAATATTTTTTGGTGTGGGGGTGGGGGTTACATATTACACATTCCAGGTTGTTTCTCCGTTAGTCAGAAAGGCCCGAGAATTGGCGACTCAATGCCCAAAGTTTGTTATCAGAGATTAAGTAATCGAATCAAGTTACTGACATTAGGTTTAGCATAGTTTCAATTGTATTTTGTCAATACATATAGTAGGAAAAAACATGAATGATTTTGATACTATGTATCAAATGTTTCGATTGAACAGTTAGAATATCATCTGGTACTGTTGACTTGGTCAATTAAATATTGCATGAATCAACGTAGCTATTAGCTAAAACGTGAATGGGTGGCACAGAAGAAAAGCTTATTTACATGTGTTGATTATATACATGTATTAACGATTTTAGTATACTCTGAAAGTATGAATTTAATGTCTGACTTTTATTGTTGTCCGACTAATTGTTTTGCATTAAGCCTAGATATCTACATAACTTGGATATTTTCATCGGTATATTATTGTGCTGAACAAATTTAATTCCTTAATATTTTTAACATGAGAAACAAAATTGTCTAACATACGATATTTATATTTAACAAAATTTAAACAATTGCAAGCGAAGTAACGTATCTTTGTTCCATGGCAAGTATATGTGCCGGGCTCATTTTTGAATTTTGAAGAAGGCCTACCCCCTCCCGTTTCCCCAGTATAGTTTAGTCATGGTTATTGATACAATTTGTACCGGTATATTTTATTTGATTTTAGCATCTTAAATCACTCTTATATAGGCAAGTATCATAGTTAGAGGGGGGGTTAAACAAAAACGTTTAATTTAATTTGAATTGGGGAATTTTCCACATTTTATTATAATTTTCAATTGAAATGAAATAAAAGGACATCGATTTTGAAAGAAGTGTGATAAACATGTAATTGATAAGTAAAAAAATATAACAATGTCTGAAAGCTGCACCACTACCCCCTAAAAACAATTGTTCCGGAAAGTACAACTATGTCCTTTTCAAAAAATACATGTACATGTAAGTACTGGGTAGGGGTTTGTTTTTGTAGAGGTAAGCTTGGTGATTATGGCGAAAGGAAAAAAAAAACAATACTTAAACCGGGATTTATCCTTTACTACAGGTACATGAACACAATTTTTCATTTTAGTCCCTTGCAAGCAATCGTAAATACTCGGTCATTTCTGTGTACATAAGTTATTTCTCCCTTGGAAAATATCCGTGTTGTTACGAATGCCTTAATTACGAGATAACTTCAGAGTAGGAACTTGTTTGGTTTTGTAAACATGGTCAGCGGTCTATCCCCTTATGAAGGATCCTTTCAAATCACAGGATGAAAATCCACCATTCAGTCGACTGAATGGTGGCTGAATAGCCACTGAATGGTCACTGAAAGGTCACTGAAAAGACCCTTTCCCGTGACCTTTCCGTGATCATTCAGTTACCATTCAGTCGACTGAATGGCACATACATTTCAGTGACCTTTCCGTGATCATTCAGTTGAATCTTTTTATTGAATAATCGGCTTATTTTTTTACCTAAAAAATGTATTTCACTTTTTCCTGGTATAATAGCATTAAATGTATCTAATTCCGAATAAAAAAAAATAGGAAAAATATTAATACAAGAAATAAAAATTTCTCCAATGTGAAGAGTCGAACCCTGGTCTCCTGCTTACCTGTCCACAACCTTATCAATTACGCTACAACTTCTTGTTTAGAGTAGAGGATTTAAAATCAATTAGCTTATAGAAATCGATGGAACAACCAGTTCACCTGTTGTATCGAGGAGCTGCGATGTGTATATATCTTGTATATCTTTTGTATATTCTATGTTAGTTGAGTGGATTTTGGGGACAGATTAATTAATTACACATCTCCGATCGGGATGATGACAATAATTATTATCAGAGACGGGCACCTGTTCCTGTGTCAAAGATTTAAGATCGTTGTAAATTCTCTATCTAGAAACTTAGTAGAATTATTTTATTAAAGCAATGTCATTTAGAAAGCTAAAATCTCCTATATATTTTTTTTTCTACAAGAGGCATATATAAACGATTTATTTATTCTTGTAATTAAAAATGAATTTAAAATAATGTCTTTCAAAAACTAAATATCCTGCAGTTTTGACAATGACAATTAAAAAACGAAATTGATCAGTAATACATGCAATCTTCCAGAAATGGTTTAAATAATATAAATTCTGTCTCATCAATCAAAACTATATATTTTCATGAAAAAATACACGTATATGCACTATAGAATGTTATGCATTTATTTAAATTTTGAATCGGTAATCGGATCATCATTTTTTATCACTTGAAGAAGTTTTGTTTTCTAAATGTAACTAGAAAATTAAATATTAATCATTTTGAATAGGTCTCACATATTTTATTTTGGGGACAGACTAATTAATTACACACTTTCTATCAGCATGATGACAATTACACTCTTTCTATCAGCATAATGACAATTATTAGAGACGGGCACCTGTTCCTGTGTCAAAGATTTAAGATCGTTGTAAATTCTCTATCTAGAAACTTAGTAGAATTATTTTATTAAAGCAATGTCATTTAAAAAGCTAAGATCTCCTATATAATTTTTTTTCTACAAGATGCATGTATAAACGATTTATTTCTTCTTGTAATTAAAAATAATAATTACTTTAGACATATTTTAAGGTACCCGAATTTTTGATCACGATAAGTAAAAAAAAAGCACAATTAAAATTGAATAATAAATCTTTATTCAAAATATTGCTTCCTTGTTAAGGAAAAATATCTGATTATTAAATAATACGCTAGTGAAAAAATTGCTAAATTGAGACTTAAATATCACTGAAAGGTGGCGGAAAGGTCACTGAAAGACAACAGAAAGGTCACTGAAAGTCGACGGAATGGTCACTGAAAGACGACACTGAAAGGTCACCGAAAGATAACTGAAAGACGACGGAAAGGTCACTGAAAGTTGATGGAAAGGTCACTGAAATTTGATTGAAAGGCCACTGAAAGTTGACGGAAATGTGTCCGCTGAATGGTGACTGAAAGGTATCTGAAATGTGACTGAAAGGCAACTGAAAGATCACTGAAATGTATGTGCCATTCAGTGGCTGAATGGCCACTGAAAAGTCACTGAAAGACATCTTTCAGTTTTAACTGAAAGGTCTTGTTTCTTCCTGTGAATACAATTTTTTCAGAGATTAAAGCATGCTTATATTCGTGCTGTAGAAAAAAGATGAAATGATGTCGTTGAATATATTCTTTGAAAATGTAAAACTTACTTCATTATTTCAATATTGACCAACAAATACATAGAGAAAATATTGTCGGTTTTTTTTTCAACAGCCTTATCGCTATTTTACAATGTATACGATGATATAGCTGCCCATTTTTTTTGGGGGGGGGGGGTATTGAAAAACTTAAATACATGTAGAAAAAATAATTTATAACTACAGTGTAATACAAAAGTGATTTTTAGTTTTAACGTTCCAAATATCAATAACGTTATGTGACGTTATTCAACGTTTTATAGCATTATTTTTTTTAAATTGTTTTGCTTTCATTTTGAGTTTTAATTAGAATTGAGAAGGTATACAATTAAAAATTTGGTATCAAAATATTCAGAAAAACTGGCTCTTTCTGAATCGGTGTAAAAGCGATTTTCGAAAATTTTGTCACGAAGGTCCCTTTTCGCTCGACGCAACTCATTTTATAACAGAAGAAAGGAATTCCGAAATTAGTATCTGTGAGATTTTCTTGTTAGATCCTTTGCCTCCAGGCCATATTTTAAAGAATGCAAGCAATCTACACCCAGACCATTTATACCTAAAATGGATCCCTCCAAACCATGGGGCTCATGTCAACAGATACAGCATTTCTGTGAATGGAAGAACTGATTCATCATCTTCCAATGGGATTTCCTGGTCATATAAATTAGAGCCTGGAACAAACTACAACGTCAGTTTGATTTCGATCTGCTGGTACCCTGAAAGTTTCCAGAAAGCGTCTGCTCCATATATTGAACAGATAGAAACACTGCGTGGGTACATTTATTGTTTAACCTATTGCACTTACTTACTTAGGATTTTGAAATTTTAAGTATTCTAACAGAATTGACGACGAATTTTTATGATCATGACAAGGAGAACACGGCGGGTATTACCGGTCAGCAGGGGATAGGCACTCCTCCATGGCACATGATTCCACCTCTGGTATTTTTTAGGACAGATGATACAAACATTTTTTTCTTTGGAGGAGATTTAATATCATGTCAATGGTTTAAAAAACTGGATGCTTCTTAGAATGGTTTTTCTCCTTAGACTTCGAAAAGTGAAATAGACATTGGGAATATTAGTAATCTTTCAATCAAACTACAATTACAGACAAAACAAACTAAGTAAAGGCTAACAGATGAAAACAAATTTTTAAAATATGTTAATTAATATTAGGTGCTAAACGACGTGTAATGTAAACTTTTGACAAATATACCAAGCCATATGAATTTTATTGGGAAAAGCAAAGTGGTTAAAATCAGTCTATGTGATTTTCTGATTTTTTGTTATTTTGTATTTCCTCATAAAATTTACCGTCTTGGTATATTTTTTTAAAGTTAATAGTATACTTTTAGCAAAAAAAACTTACATATTCTGAAATTTGTTAAAAATAGGATAAGATTTTCTGAAATAGAATAATGTCTATTAATATTTTATAAATTAATTTAATGTCATTTTAATTTTTTTTTTAAACACAGGCACTCCCAAAATAGATCTCAAACCATTACGTCTGGATATACCTTTTCTTTCAAGTGTTACAATAAACGCCTCTGTTCAAAATATTTCTGGATTTCCACCAACAACGGAGGTAAAATGGAGGAGAAATGAAATGGATATTAACATTACAGATTCCAGATATAGAGGAAGTACCTTTCATCTATCCAGTCCTATTCTGATTATAAACAGAGTTGATTTTTATAACGAACACGATTCCCACTATGATTGCATAGCACGAAACTCAGTAGGATGGGGAGCAAGTGAGAAAGCTCACATAGCTGTGTATGGAAGTATGTGATCTTCAGCTTCTTTCAAATTTAACACTTTAAACAAGGACACCCTTATTTCCATTTTAAGGAATCAATATATGGCATTTTTTATCAATTATATTTCTAGAATTTAAACAAATAGCTAATAGCTTTTAAAGATTGAAACAAAAAACGTTTTGTCAATAGCCATACGTCAACTATACGGAGCATTTAATTAATGTAGTTTAACGTATTTGAGCTAAAATTTCGTCTATTCTATGAATAAATTTTTCAAAGTTTTTTTAAAAATATTTTCCTCAAATATTTTAACTCCAAAAAATAAAGGGCACAAACATTGCCCTTTTATATTGAAATATTGGTTTCAGTGTTTTGACGAAAATGTTCAAAATACATCACAAATTCAATTTTTTGACCGTTCTTCACTTTCAAAATCTGTAATCAAAAATAAACAATGTGATAATTAAGGTGTTTGGCTTCTGACATTAAAAATAATTGAAAATTATTTTTTTATTTTTTTATTGTAAGAATAAACATAATAAATTATTTTAAGCCAGAAAAATGCATATGAATATGATTTAATTTTCAAGCTATAGGTGTTCCTGACAAAGGGAGGTAATTCTCTCATTTTAGTAAAGAAAAAGACCAAATTTGTGTTCAACATATTTAATATTTATTTTAAACAATGAAATGTTTTCAAATCATTCCAACCTTTTGCTATCTTTTAAAAGTAGTCATAGGGAATATAAATATTGATAAAATAAAAATGATAATTGATAGAAGATAAAATTTAATTCTTATCAAAAAGGACACACCCTCATACTAAAAAATGCCTTTTTTCCTTTCACAGGGCTTATAAAATGAGCTTGAAAAATAAATTAGAAATAATTAAAAAGTATTTTTTTTTCTATACATTTGTTACTAAGATAAAGTGCTTAAAAATGGTGTAAAAAATTGTATATCAATATGAGTTACTTTTAAAGATATTTTAACATGAATTTCCTCTGACCCATTTTTCTCAAATTTTGACCAGAGGAAATTCGGATTGATTCTGTTTGCCTCTTCCATGATTTTGGGGGATTTTCTATTTGCCTAAATGAATAAGTGTATTGAAACTCAATCTTTTTCTTTAAAAGAAAAGGGACATTTCATTTTTTGGGGGGACTATTTAAGACTTAGGGGAAAGAGGGGATGGTGGGGGGGGGGGGTAATATCTATTTTCATGCCCACTCACATTACCTGAGGATAATTCTTTAATAGTTTGACTAATCATGGCTTTGCCTGTTCTGAGTTGAGAGAATTTTACAGACATTTCAAATATTTTTCTATGCATACTTTGCTCCACTTGTGGCCCATCCTTCCCCCAAGAAGTATTGAATATAGGGTATGCAATGAAGCTAAATTTCACGTAAATGTCATCTTTCCTTCAGTGGTTCTTCAGAAGATTTTTGAATAATGCCACCAAAATTCTTAATTACCCCCCACTTCAAAAGGGCGAGACACTTCCTATGAACAAAGTTAAATCCCCTTAATTGAAATTGGGCCAGTTGGTCTTTCAAAGAAATAAAATATATCAAACTTTACACACCCCAGACAAAAGACCGATTGCCAGACAATCTTTGATCAGAAAAGCTCACTCGGGCTTCCGTGTCAGGTGAGCTAAAAACCACCACATAGTAATCATTTCACTATAAACGTTTCACAGCAAAATTCCAGTTATTGAAAATGAAGGGAATAAAAAAAAAGACTAAATGAATGTTTTGAACTACTAGTTGTACCAATAACAGCTAGTTTAATTTCACGTAAATGTCATCTTTTCTTCAGTGGTTCTTCAGAAGATTTTTGAATAATGCCACCAAAATTCTTAATTACCCCCCACTTCAAAAGGGCGAGACACTTCCTATGAACAAAGTTAAATCCCCTTAATTGAAATTGGGCCAGTTGGTCTTTCAAAGAAATAAAATATATCAAACTTTACACACCCCAGACAAAAGACCGATTGCCAGACAATCTTTGATCAGAAAAGCTCACTCGGGCTTCCGTGTCAGGTGAGCTAAAAACCACCACATAGTAATCATTTCACTATAAACGTTTCACAGCAAATTTCCAGTTATTGAAAATGAAGGGAATAAAAAAAAAGACTAAATGAATGTTTTGAACTACTAGTTGTACCAATAACAGCTAGTTTAATTTGCGTCATGCAATGTAAATTTCTCTTGATTTCATTGTATCAAACAAAATGTTCTTTATTCAAGATGAAAAATGATCAACTATTTAACTTTATTGAAGTTTATTCAGATCCATGTTTCTTGTGATAGAGATCTATCAAATTGTTACCTTTACAAGTAACATACAACATTTTTATATACTGTAAACATTAGATTTTTTGTGCCTTTGACAGAAAACTGCTGTTGCTATATCAAGAACATCGCTAACTTTATGACCTGCGTATTTATAAGTACACAACAAAAATTTTGCTAGAAATCAAACCTAGCCCGATTGTTGAAAATAGATTACTGCCAAGTATAGGTCATACACAATATTAAACATTTACAGAATGTCCATTCATATTCATTTGTGCATGTTTCAATTTAATATGCACATAGTCTTCTTCAATAAATATCAAAGAACACCTTTTAATTTTTCAGGTATGCTCAAAATATGGGTAATGAAAATAAATTTTTGTCAATTTCTAAATAAGGATTTATTTTGAATGGAAAGAAAATGTTCTGTTCAACTACAAACTACCTATAACAATAAACATTGAAAAAAACAATAGTACATGGCATAATTATACCCCGGCTCTGAAGCACAGGGTTTATACTGTTTTTCTTTCTACACTTGTGTGTCTTTCTGTCAGTAACAAATTTTTGTCCAATTTTTCTCAGCAATCACTCATCATGCTCAATTGCTCATCACAGATGCTTTAAGTTTTAGCACAATCTTTCTTTAGACATGCCGTATGTTGGAATTCGTTTTAGACGAATCTGATGTCAACTTCCTGATTATCTTTGCATCTGTCTGTACCACAAATAGTAAATTTTTGTCACAGTTTTCTCCAAAACTACTCATCACATTTGGAATTGGTTTTAGACGAATCTGATGTCAACTTCCTGATTATCTGTGCATCTGTCTGTACCACAAATAATAAATTTTTGTCACAGTTTTCTCCACAACTACTCATCACAGTTGGAATTGGTTTTAGACGAATCTGATGTCAACTTCCTGTTTATCTGTGCATCTGTCTGTACCACAAATAATAAATTTTTGTCACAGTTTGCTCCACAACTACTCGTCACAGTTGGAATTGGTTTTAGACGAATCTGATGTCAACTTCCTGTTTATCTGTGCATCTGTCTGTACCACAAATAATAAATTTTTGTCACAGTTTTCTCCACAACTACTCATCACAGATGCTTGAAATTTTTTAGACATGTAATATGGTTGGATTCATTTTTGTACGAATTCCATTGTCAATTAACTTTGTTTATTCCTGTCTGTCCATATTCACATCAGATTGAGGGTATTACTAGTGAGCACTGGCTCACAGAAATCAAACAAACAAACAAACAAACAAACAAACAAACAATAATATAGTTACATACAAAGAACATCATACAACTGCGTTACTGCTCAGATCTGAGAAAATCTGCAACAGAATCAATGATTTTTCTAGATTTTGTCACACGCACACTGTTATCTGTTATCTCTGTCAGCACATCCTGTACTCCCTCCCTACCATTTCTGCGATAAGCCAGTTGTAAGTGTGATAAGGAGAGTCCACTGCTGGCAATCTTATTTCCCATTCCATTCGAAATCACCTTTTGGTCCAATAAAGGCTTTAGTGTGCTCATTAGACTTTTTGTTGTGTTCTTGTGATGGAATATGGCAAAGGCAGAGTTTGAAGTGAAAGATGCAGCAAGTTTGACTTCAGGGGAAGGTCCTGTATGGTCCAACAATCTCTTCAAGGCTAAGACATCCTGTAATGAGTCATGCGCACTGTATTTGTCTTGTAGAATTTCTTCGAAGAGGTGTAACTGTGAGTATGATGAAAGGTTTGGATGCGAAATTTTGAAAAGAGGTAAGGTATCAATGAAACCAATGACTGCAGATGAGAATGCCTCCAAAATGTTTAATTTACTCAAAATGTTGAACAGCACAGGAAGGTCAAACACTTTGGAGTTGTGTCCAACTAGAACAGCATCTGACTCCGATTTCTTTATGAAGTCGATAAACTGGATCAGTGCATCCTTAATGCTGACTGTCTCAACTTCCTCATCATTGTGGTACATTTTATTGTTGACTACTTTTATTCCAGTAATTTCTGTAGCTTTTGAGGACATTGGTTTTTCTGGAATGATGTATTTGTTGAAAACCTCATCATTTCTAACTGCAGACAACTGCACAATATGAGAATCCCTTTCTAAAAATAAAAAAAACAAATAATTTAATTTTGATTGTAACGCATCATTTGATTGGATAAAAAATTAATCTAAATTGTATAATCTGGTTTGCTTACGTCACAATGACTTACATCAAATTGTATCAATCCGCTTGACGTTACGTTTAAAATATGAACTATTTGAAGGCATTATAAAGAGAAAATCTGTCTTGTTTTATATTCTTGATGATTGAAAATTAAATCATAAGGAGTGAATTAAATGGCAACCCAAATTATACTGCTACAACCTGGGTTGGAGCAGTTTACGCTTTTTTATAAACCGCTCTGAGGTTTAGAAAGCGTAAACTGCCCCAACCCAGGTAATACAGTATAATTTGGGTTGCTATTTAATTCATTCCTTAAGTAAATTCAAGTTTTTAAAATTAAAAGCATTAAAAAAAAATACATACAAAAATTGATATATTGTAAATGTATTATATTTAGCATGTATGATATTTGGAAGAAATTGACTTTTGAATAAGTAAGCGTAGATTTGATTTAGTGCATTTCTTCATTTTCTTCTTTATGTGTATATGTGCAAGACATTTAGCGTTGTACTTGATTTAGCGGTTGCAGCGTTTCGCCAAATCCGCTATTAGAATACACAGCCAAATGTAATCCGTTTACAGTATGCATGATTTAAAAAATTTTGAAACATTATAATAATAGTAACCCTCTTCCCCAAAACTTAACTCCTTCAAAGATGCTTGAATTCTTTCAGAATATGCAATTTCTTTTTAATCAGTGTCCTCAGAAGGAAGGGTAAAGTTTTGAAAGATATAAAACATGCTCAACTACTTGTACCAATACTGGAATTATGCAAGAGTCTCCATTTCTATTTGTTTTCTATGATAACTCTAGTATTATTATTTCAAAATGCATACAAAAAAATACCGGAAGAGGGCCATAACCATCAGCATTGACTTAACATTTAAATCTAGGTTCTTACCGAGTCCAGTAGTTTCCAAATCAAAATAGATCTCTTCAGCATTTAACAGCTGACTTGAAGGGAGATGATCATACTTTGGAATTGTTTTTGGAGCTGGAATTTCAACGATGTCAGAGGCCTGCTGGAGATCACATCCTGTTAAATAACTGATGCCTTCCCTTGTTTCTTTTGTAGAAATACTTTGAATTCTGTAAAGAAGATGTATACTGTAAAACAAATGATTCTAAACTGAGGTCTTACTAAAGGCCTAGCAAGATAAACAATCACCTAATGTATAGCTTATGAATTAGGAGTTGTAAATAAATGAAAATCCTGAGCACATCGGCAAGGAAAGAGCACAAATTAGACCAGAATAGAAAAGTTATGGTACATGTAATTTACTGAAGGGGGGGGGGCTTAAATTTTATCACTACTTAAGAATGCCTCCATATCAATACAGCATATAACTTTTTTAACATTTTGTTCGTATATATTACTTAGTAATAATTTGAATTTGATTCCCCACCGTTTCCCTCCCTACCACAAAGGATCAGGATTTAAACAAATTTAAATCTTCAATTTTCATTTCCATATGACTAAACATAGCTTCTCTTTTTTTCGGGGGGGGGGGGGATTTTTCCCTTTATTTTCCTATGTAAAACTTTGATCCACCATGTATGATTTGAAAAAAAAAATAATTCTACTTTACCTGAGGATGCTTCCATATTAATATCACCAATCATAGCTTTGCTATTCTTGAGAATTTTTTTAAAAATATATTGTACTGTAAAATGCAATTGTGGCCCCGCCCTATCCCTGGGAGTCATGATTTAAACAATCTAGAATCTACACTACCTGAGGATGACTTCATATCAATATCACTTATCATGGCTTTGCAGTCCTTGAGAAGAAGATTTTTAAAGATTTCAAATTCTCTATATATTCCTGTGTAAAACTTTGATTGGCTATGTGGTCCCACCCTATCCCCCAGGGTCAAGATTTGAACAAACTTGAATCTACACTACCTGAAGATGATTCCATATGAGTTTCATCTTACCTGGCCCAGTGGATACTAACTTTGTAGCAAGTTTGGTTGAAATTGGCCTAGTTGTTCTTGAGAGGAAGATGAAAATGTGAAAAGTTAATGACAACAGATACATTTTTATCAGTAAAGCTCACTTGAGCTTTCCGCTAAGGTGAGCTAAAAAACTGGGTATGTAGGTAGGTAAAATTTTTATTTTAAGATTGCAGCAAAGCAATATGCCCTCCCTTCTTTGAAAAAAATATTTATCAAACCATGCTATTTATACAAGCATACCGTAAATCTTTGGTGATTCAGAAAACAAATCTTACTAACATGCAAGATATTAATTCCCACTTAAATTCATACTTATCATTATTCACTTGTTCTTGGTTTATTTTCATTTTTGAGGTTGTCAAAAGGTTTTTTACACCTGACAAATGACAATCAAATTATACTAGTACGTACTTCCTGGCTTTCAATTCTCTCCTTCTCCTTTTAAATTTTTGTGTCACTGAAATGGCCTTCTGTCGCTTTCTTTGTAAATCCCTCAGAATGCACTGTCGTCGAGTATAGTAGCCAGGAGAGAGGCCCAATTTCTTGTTAACCTTTAATAAGGATAAAAGAATCTATTATGTACAACTACAATGTACATACATATACAATACAATTTGCTTTTGATTAAAATTTGCAGAATTTTCAAATGTAAGAGATAACTTGAGTGGTTCAACTCAGATATGACACAATAAGCATGAAAAAATAAAAATTTACAAACCTTTACAAGATATTTGTGTCCAACATTTTTCTGGGCTACACATGCAGCAACTCTATATCTGAGGCTTGAAGAAGAGCTGTAATGATGGGTCTTTGGGGCTTTTGCAGACACCATTCTGTGAAAACTCTCATTCGACTGTGTGCTTCCTAAGCATGAAAGACGATCAGAATGACTTGCATATGAACTGAAGACTTCTTTCAGATCATCCTGAAGGAACCTATCTTTCAGGGGTTTTCCATGTGGAAGTGACTTGTACTTCAGGTTAGGGTTGTTAATGAAGTTGCACCACCTTGAGGAGCAGTGTTGGTGATCTCCAAATATGTGTAATGGAATTGATGAAAGGTCTTCTTTGATTTGAGAAGCATTTCCTTTTCCCTGTGCTATGGAGTAACTGAAGCATTTCTGAATGTACTTTATCACAGACAAAGTTAGAGTTGAATGTTTTTTCTTCAAGGTAAACAAAGAGTTTGTAAACAGTTTCTTTAGATGATTTTTATCAGACAACTTCTTAATATCAGCATTGACATTAGCTTTCAGTCTTGCAATAGTGGTAGAGTCCTCATCTCCAATGATTCCATCAATGGTTATTCCTTTACTTTTCTGTAGATCTTGGACCATCTCAATAACCATATCTGCCTCCATGGCCTTTGAACTACCCTCCCAATTCTTTGAGCACTCATGGGCTGCTGGATTCTTGTTGGTTGATTCAGCTACACTGCATACTCTGCAATTCTTAGACCTCAGAGAGTATGACAATACTTTGTCAGAGAGAGGACCAACCATGGAACAATGACCTGAAAAATTACAAATTAGAAAAACTGTATAACTTATAGATGTATTCGTTGTTTTTATTAAAGCATTTTTCATGCATTTCTTAACTTAATAAAATGTATGTCTTAATACTTTGGCAAGGAAAATCAAACTCGATCACTGATGTTACATGTATGCATTTGGTAATAACCTTTAACCCCCTTAGTCAGCAATGAACCCGTGCGTCCAGTGCACTATAGCATAATTAGGTCAAATATTTATTTTTCATGAGGGGTGCTGTATAAATAATGGAAATCGTTCAACTTTAAAAAAGTAAACAGTTGCTTGAAAACGTGTTTGCAGGATGCAATAGGGACCAAATTCCTACTTCTTTGAAGTTAAGTGTTCTAAGTATTGACAATGCTTTGGTAAATGATGTTTCTAATAAGTGTCGTTAAAAATTGGTTACGTGCCATAGAGCGATTAGCAAATACGCTAACTGTGTAAAATCACCTAATATTTTAATATTTTGATTTGACTCATTATGAGTCTTAATGATTTTTCTCCTATATATATTCCCCTGTAAACATTATATCCTTTTTTGGCTCCATTATCCCACCTTGGGTCCATATTTTGAACAAAACTGAATATGCTTTACCTGCATGAGCAACATAACTATTCATGGCTGTTCTTTAGAAGAATATTTTACAATTTATATGGACAGTTGAACTTTGAGATATGTGTCTTTCTAAATTTATTGCATCTGTTTGCATACATATTTAATGGAATCAAGTCCTAAGCAAACTTAATGCATAGTTTATGTTGGGCACAAGCGGGAAGTAATCACACTAATCAACAATATTTTTTTTTTTATTTTCCTAAAATTTGTCTACTGTAGAAGCATAAATTTTCGTGGGCATAAACTTTTTTTGACATCAAATATAATCTCGTCGTTGTTTTAAAACTAACCCTAGGTCTAAAAAAAATATGTTTGTTTCCTGTAACCCGACCGACCCATTCAAATTACCCCCCGGGTGAATTTTTTTATTGACAAATGGCAAAACTTTGTTTGATCAATCAGCTGATTCTATTTATTAAAAAAAGAAAATTAGCTTGTAGCTTAACTTGAGACATAAAATATGTCAACTTAGTTTACATCTAAGTTTAATTAGTTATAAAGAGTAATCATTATTATAACAACAATTTCCCCCTACAACTTTCTGAAGATCGTTTTCTGCCGCTAGGTAGCCATTTTGGATGCCATGTTGGGTGTCTACTGTAGATATGACACCTGGTATATTGAATCCAGGGATGTTTGACAATTCATAAGAAAAAAAAGAATCCAGACCTACCGACCCTTAATTTTTTTTTAATGTTACAGGAAACAAACATATTTTTTTTAAAGCCCTATTCAATATATAGTCATATAAAATTTCGTGTGGGATTTAATTTTGTTGAATTTTCCCCCCGAATATTTGTGCTTTTACAGTATTTTTACCTGATAAACTATCATATGTCTTTCCGCTACCCCGTTTTTGCCATCCAGCATCTACAGCAACAACTAGTCCATTTTCGTTCATCTCTCTGAAAAATAGATAAATAACAGACATCAGTTATTAACTGTGAACCTGTCTTCTTTAGAACACCCCCTAATGTGCATAACATTCTGCATATTTATCAATACAAATTATACTGTACATGATTAAACCTTATATTTATCAGTATATCAGATTCTATTAACTTGATCACTATCAATTATTATTAGGTATTCCCTATGATTTTCATTTGGGGATCAAAACTAAAACACAAGGCTCTTGGGGCTTGGGCCACAATACTCTAGGAAGTCACTGTCTCTGTCCAATCTAATTAAAATTTTTTAATTTTTCCTTTTTTAATTCATTCTAGGAATGAATTTAATAGCTACCCAAGTTATACTGTATATCCTGGGTTGTGCCAGTTTTGGCTTTCTATACAGCGAGGCTTTCATTTCAAAGCAGGTTACACTATTATAACTTGGATAACTATGAAGTTAATTCCTTATAATTTAATTCTCCATCAATAAGTAAAGAAAATAACTTAATAAGACAATTTTTCCTTCAAAAATGCATGCAATTAGTACATACATGTATCTTATATGTAAAATTAAATGGGTTGTTATGTTTGTGACATACATGTTAGTAATTGTGACTTAACCAACACAGGTTATACCATATGACCACTACACATGTATGCTGGACACCCATTGATCTGATCAGAAAAGCTCTATTGCGCCTTTGGCTCATTTGAGCTAAATAGTGAGATTTAAACTGAATTTATATTGTTTACACACTCATTCATCATTTCCAGTTCCTTCTGCAAAGCATCAGACATAGACTCTGCAGCAATGTCTTCAACAGCTCTGCCTATCTCTTTCTGTCTTTTGTCCAGCATGGCATGGCTTACAGGTGGTATATTCAGCTCAGAAAGGAGACTGTTGACTTGCGTTGCACCAATACCAACATGTACAATTGCTGTAAATACAAATTCATAAATGTAAAAAAGAAATCAATCTAATCACTTTAAACAAGAAGCTTGTGAAATACAACACTCACCTTAGTCTCATTTATTTTCTCTCTTTATTACCAGAAATTAAAAATAGAACCCATACTTTTAACAAACTAAACCCCTAGGGGTAATGGCAACAAAACTGGAATTGATCTACAAAGAAGCTCTTGGATTCTAGAGGTTTTGTAGGGTAAAAATGAGGTCTACCGATTAGACATCAGAAACATTTCCTTGACAAAACTATGTTTTATGCTAACTTTGACAATTTCAGGAGGGGTTCGTGCCGGGTGTGCCCCCCATTAAGTCTGCCACTGATTATATCAATTTATAGATACATATACCTATTTACTGGCTATGAGGACAAAAGCAAGTTTATTGTCCCCCACGACAGCAACAATTTCTCAAGGTGCGTCCAAGTTGCTGTTGAGGGGGACAACAAACTTGCTTATATTGGAATAGACAGGTAAAACTCAATCAGGCTCTTGTGACTTGACAATAATAAATATACATGTAACTGATGTAGGGGATGTGTAGGTTAAACTTCTTACCTGCTGATAGCTTTGTATTTACATCCCACACTCTTCCATGTTTTTTCCCTGTTTTTACATGGTTAATATGATTACACTTTGTATTGCTGCAACAGAACTGAAATGTTTATGTAAAATCAATGAATTCCTAATTACAGGTCACTGTTCTAAATTCATTCACCATTAATGAAATCAAATGCTTGGGAAAAAAGAATTTAAATATGCATTACTTCAAATTATTTCAAAGAAAAAAATGTAACATCTTTCAAAACAAAAAATATGGATATATGGAATACTGCCTGTTTTATATGGAGTAAAATTCAAGGAAAAACCTTTCAAGGTTGTTTTTATACAAACTGTGCAAAAATTGGTGAGTTCATACCTTTAACAAAGAAGCTAAACCATATGTCAACACAGAAATAGTGTGTGAAAGTTGTAATGGTAAGCCACATTTACAACATCCCCGCAAGCCCTCAGCTAACACTCCAAGTTCTACTACTCTCCTCCCCTCCTTCCAATCCTCAGATGTAGTCACTTCTTCCCCATCCACCACCTCCTCTCTTTCCAGTATATTCAAATTTGGCAATTCTATGAATAATGAATAAAAATTATCACCATTACACATTCTTTATTATCTACTGTAACACATCCTGACTAGTTGACTGTTTAGATACACTATGACTTACTAAATTCCAAGAACCAGTTTTCAAAATAATTCATTGTGCCGATATACAACATATTTTTCCATATACCGATATTTCTCAAGATATTCTGAAATCAATCTAAAATATGATCTACTAAATTTTTCACTCGACATTTGCTTGGAACCTGGTCATTCACATGTAAACAGACGGTGTATGAGGTGCAGCGAAGAGTTGCATAGCATTTGCAAGATCTTTCAACATTTTAAAGTTGATTTCTTACTCCAGATTGTAAGGTTAAGTAGTCTGTATTAATAATAATAAGTTAAAATCTGGATCAACAACTACACTGCCATTTTGATAATGAATGTAAAAGAAGCTATATGGTTGAACAATTTTTTCCTGTAATGCATTATCATGTCAGATTATATACCTTTCTATTTTCAAAACAATTAGGCCTAGACCGCTAACATTTTGTTTGTGACTTAGTAAGATCATATGATCCAATAAAAGAAAAATCATGTAAATCTCAAATTCAAATGAGCAAATATTCATTGAGTTTAGAACAGACTTTGGAGAAAATTTGTCCTGTCGTTCCCGCTTAACAATTATTGTTGGGCCCATTGGCAAGCTGATGTCAATTAAAAAAATTTAGGTCAATTTTGGAATTGATTTCATATATCTTAATAAGTATAAAGAATTACGGAATGAAATTTGAAGGAATGAAGATTGTTTATATATGGATAGATATGGATAAACAGTAAATTTGTAAAGCATTCAATTTAAAAGAATTTTATTGGGGAAAGTAGGTACCCTATGAAAAGAGTTCCATACCTTTATTTTTTCTTAACACCTCAATTTTTTTTCTAAGTGATCTAAAGGCCTGTGGGTCAAATGAGTATATCTTTCATCACGTGCAGTGTATTAAAATAAAATACAGTAATTATCTTTGATTAGTATTGTCATGTAAGGTAAGACATCAGCAAATGTAATTTTTTTTTTTTGTAACAGCTAGGCTTAGTATATATATATTTTATTGAAATCCACATATGACATCATGTATAGTTAAATTTATTATCATCAAATATGATTCAAATTTCCATGTTGCACTTTGATTACAATAGGCCACGTGGTTTTCAATAAAATACCCCCCCCCCCAAAAAAAAAATTATATTTTTAAAACTTTGTTGTCAATCAGATGAAAACTTGTTTTTATCATTGAAATATATCGTTGAAATTCAATTATATATTTGATAAAAACAAGTTTTCAATGTCTTAGTTATGTCATGTTGTTTTTCAATGAAATATTTAGAAAAATTCAATATCTTCTCTTTTGGTGCACATCTTTAACTATTATAATTTTTTTAAATAGCTACACGAAGTCATAGTTCAAAAAGTCTTTAGATTGGACCTGGTATATAAAATAAACATCAACAAATTCATGTACCTCCCTTTAATATTTCTAATAGACCTATGTGTAATCATGGTAATATAGATGCAGATATGAAAACGAGTCTTTTAGATTACGTATTTTACATGTACAAACCGTGATCGTGATCAACGCTGACAGGGGTTGCACTGGCGGAGTAATTGTGGTCTGTAAAGATAGCTCCCCTAATCCATCGAGTCAATTGCCCTGCAGATACTTTATCATATCTCTCCTTCTGCTTTTTCGAGACGAACCCATGGCGTCTGTACTTTGGTTTCACCATCTCAACCAAAGTTACCGCGCAGACCTTGACTTCTCGTCTGCTTTTTGTTTACATTATCGTAATCCGGTTCACATCCGCGAAATGTAAAATGCTTAGTATATGTTTGTTTTCTGGCATAAAAAATCGTTATTATGTTACTTTCTATGGATGATGATAATAATTATTTGTAGAAACTATTAATTCTCTGCCGTATTGAATTCTTTATTATAACGACATTTAGACCAATTTCCGGCAGTTCGAGTTGCGCGGTGAATTCAATTTCGTCAGAAGCGAAACACCTTAATGTAATAAAAACATTCGAAAATAATGACATTTAACGAAATTTTTAGAAGAATAGCTAACATTATCATACATTTTCAGATAGGAAAATTAAAAATGGGTGTATATGTTGAAAAGCGTGAGACATTTATTGATAAGGTATTAATTATATTCTTGAAATCTAGCTATCCCCTCCCCCCCCCCGAACTACACAATATATTTGCTACATTAGTCGAATATGATTTTAGAGTTCAAGAAAGTTAATTTACTATATAATGTAGAAATAGTATATACATTTCACTGCACAAGATAAGTCCTTGTGCAGGATGCATGTTAAAAAAGAATCTAATTTTAACTAAATTTTAAATAATGATTCATTCAAATGAACCATTATCTATTCATATTTCGTGTGTCTGAAGAAAATTAAAAAAAAAATTAAAAACTGAGAATTGAGTATTTTCTTCTAATTTTCAAAACAAATAATTTTATTATTCTAGGTCTCAAGTTTTTGGAGCTGTGCAATGAGAGTCGGGAATGTGAACCAGATAAAAACCTTGCGTGTCGCTTTAGTACTTGCCTTTGTTCTGACTCCTACTATCACGAAAATTCTCTTTGTTATGACCGTAAGCTAACATTTTATTTTTAATAGCATTTTTATTAATCAAATTAATACAAAAAAATTATTTACTTGAAATATATATTTAGTTTTTAAAAAGTTAAAATTTCATGTGCTTTTTAAAAATTTTACAGATACATTGGAAATAATTTTCATGAAAAGCTACAATAGTTAAATACAATTATGTATTTTATTTCTTCTCCTTTTTTAATACAAGTTTTCCTTAAGTTAACTTGTAAAATATTTTTTCTTTCAGAAAGCAGGCTACATGTTAATATACAAAGAGTAGAAAAAACTACATGTAAAACATCGGTTAAATGGGAAAAACCACTATACGACACTCATCTTATATCTGGATATGTGATCAATTTGGAGGCCCATAGATCCGGCAGCTGGATAATAGAAGAGATAATACATGTGGGAAATGCAACCGAGTATAGTACCCCATGTAAACTACAACCGGGGCGTCTATACAGGTTCAACATTCAATCCAAAGTTTCGCTTAGACATCCCGCCGAAAATATCAGTGTTGATACACATTCAAATGATTTTATATTAGGTAATTTATAATATATATTTGATGTTATTTTCAAATATCCTTTACATTATATATGTAATGCATGTCTACCCATGCTCTCGTGAAAAAAATGTCATATACAAATCTTTTTAAGATTCTCTGGTTCTGAAAACATTTATCTCTTAAGCATACTTGCACAGTACAGATTCGGATCATCCCCTTGCCCCCGTGTAGGAGAGAGGTCACAAAACTTTTTTGTTTATTAAATATGTCCGAAGCACATTCAGATTTTTTCTAATAGCTGCATCTTCAGGTAGTGTGTTCATATAATTGAGGTTTAAACCCTATTTATAAAAAAAATCTGAGTATCATTTTCTTTTGAGACTAGTTAATAGTAATACAATTACTATCATGTTAAACATCACCTGGCAGAAATTGACATAAAATGCAAATTCTAGATAAGCTACCTCGAGAGGTTTTACATCTACCAATATCCACGGTCTAAATATTACAAATTCTGTCAATATAATGATTGAAGACCGTTAAACTAAGATCAATTTTATTTCATGTTATCCATTGTCTCATGTTAACATTATAATAATATGTTCCTAAATGTAATTAGATCATTTAGTGATAACCAAAAGTATGATTGTGTAATGGACAAAAATACAAATATGTAACTTAACCAAATAAAGATAACATTATCTATTTTTTCATTATTCAAATAAATTATTGTGTCCATTCACTTCGTAGAGCCGTTGTCACCTGGCAAACTTGATCGCGTGAAAAGCAATTTTTCCTCACAACATCTTTACCTAAAATGGGAGAAACCTGCAGATAACACCTTTCTGAGTCACTACCTTGTTGTCATCAATGGTCACGAACAACAAACGTTGGGTAACTATCCGGAGGTCTACTGGAGGAAGGGTCTGGTGCCAGGAGCGATGTACAACGTGACAATTACAGCAGTCAGTCATGGAGATATCATGGGTGGACCATGGCTCGGAACTGCTAAAAGTAAACCCTACATAGACTGGATTGAAGTAGATCAAAGTAAGATCATTGATTAGTTGTCTTCATAATATATATATATATATATATATATATATATATATATATATATATATATATATATATATATATATATATATATATATATATATATATATATATATATATATATATTTCTTTAAATTTTTGCTTTGATTCATTGCCAAGTTTTACGCCTGCCCGACAATAATTCTTTTCAAGACAAAAAATGATACTAGTGGACATTCGACATATTTCTTTCCAATTGACAATATTCCGCTTAATGAAAAATGAAATGTTTTGAAACGTTAGCGATTTTATATCTTATGACTCTTGTTCCTTTGATTTGCCTCAAAGTAATCAAGATATTTAAGCATAAATCACAAATTTCTTACAATTATTTAATCATACACTTAAAATATATTATTTGTGAATTCCATTTTCACTCACAAAATGTAAAAAAAATTACATTAATTATCACATGGCGGATGTGACCGTTCGGTAAGGGAATGGCACCTGATCCCGCCTCAGATGATTTGGAGGTCCGTGTTTGCTCTACTTATATTTTGTATTGTTTTATTAACTTTTGACCTTGAATACTGTTCTTTATCTCCGTATGTTTCATCAATATAGTTAAAGGAGGATACACACATATGCCTTACGGAGAAAGAGATAATGTTTTCCATGGAGATGAAGTCACCAGCCCCCGTCTTAGATCTCCAGTGACAATAAATGCAATGGATGGATCAAGTCGTGGATTTAATTACGTAATTGTAAGAGTCTAATAGCATAATTTCTCATTATAATCTTTAAAAGAAAGTAAAATTCTAACAAATTCCAAGACAATGTAGATTTTAATGCCAAAAAATACGGTCGCTTTAGATTGGCTCCAACGGTGTCATAGGACTTGGAGAAGAGTTCAACTGGATGCAATCACATAATCTACACTCCTCAATTCTGGAGGATAAACAGATTATTTGTCCCTTTTGGACAGATTTATTAACAACGGATAGAGCGAGTGGTATCTACTATAATACATATCAGAGGTTTGTATTTTTTCAATCTATTTTCTATGAACCTGTGTTTTGAGTTTGATAATAAAGTTCTGTTAATTTATTTCCTCAGGGGAATAGACGCCGAAAACACACTTTTCTTGAACAAAGCAAATGAAATGATAAGGATACAGTTCCCAGATTTCCCTGACTTCGAGGCGACATGGCTGGTCAAAGTGACTTGGGAAAACATGACATTATTTGGATACAATTCACAGGTATCTTTTTAAATCAGTTGTGCAACATTGCTTATTTTATTTTGAATTCAAGATCAAAGATGTTCTGATAAGAATTTGTGTTGCTTCCATACACTTTTGAGCTTGACAACAGTTTTTTAACTTCTTGTTTCACTCACGGGTGAATTATATTTTATGTTAAGTGCATGTCTTAATTTTGGATATAAGCATATGCAATAAAAATTGTTTAAACCTTTTCTTGATAACCTTTGCATGATTATATTTATTTACTAAAAAATCGTACTTTTAAAAAATAATATTTTTAGCTCGTGACATTCCAATGTCTCCTAATTACGGATGGAGTGAGCACTTTTACAGTCATAAATTACATAGATGTTAATCTTATACCAATAAAAGGAATGAAAATTGTTGTCGGATATCGATTCCAGAAAATCTTTACCCAGAACGTTCTTTCCAACAAACTTGCTGCTTTTCAAATGACTAAATATCCAGGAAATAGAGGTAATGATTGAAAGGCGTAGTATGATTTTTTTAAAGTTTACATGAGATGCATATTTATGAATTTATTCGAAATAATCATATAGTTCTTTCTTGTAAATATCAAACGGACTACTGTAACAATATATATAATGAATTACATTTTTATAGCTATTTTATTCAATTATAGTAAAGTATAGTTTACTGTAAACATTAGTTTCAATTTCAATTGTGTTGTGCATCAATCTAATTGCATCATATTCAATCTGATTTTGATTTTAAAATATCAAATATCAACATTTAGGTATTCAGGGATTTTGGATTTATAAAATGAGTACAGGGATTCCGCTGAACAAGGATGAGAAACTTTGCTATGATTGGTATATGAGAAACAAAGAAATGGATATACGAAACCAGTTAATTTTACGGACTCAAATTCAGTGTCCATGTGATAGTCGTTTGCTTAGATTTGATCCTCGATTCACTACTATAAATCGATTCGACAGAAAATATCGAGTGCTTTGCTATGCCTCTATCATTGTTGGCAGAAATACAGTAAGTCAACTTTGTGAGAAAATCCATCATACATTTACATGTACAAAAAAGAAATTAAGAAAAGCTTTGAAAAACAATATCCGGAAATATTCTAAAACAATGTTTATCTAACATGATATATTTTTAGGAGTGCTGTTACAGACTTCATCGAAGAATAGATAATCTGAGTGTTCTTGAGCAAGCTGTTCCTGCGGTAGGATCACTGTTACAGTATAATCCTTTTTTTGAACGTCATCTTTACATAAAAAATGACCTTAAACCGAGAGAGGCGTGTATTAAATCAGGACGTGTTACATGGTACTACGAGGTACGTCCTATTCCAAGGTGCTATTTGAGATCACCATTTCGACCAGGTATTCTTTTTTGTCGTTTATTTGCAGTCTCTTTTAATGTATTAAGATTGTGTATTTAAGTGTTAACTTATTAATTTTTTTATTCTTTAATAACAAAAAAATAAGCAGCAATTTGCTGAGTTTTTTTTAATCAAAGCAAGAATTTAAAAGATCAAGAGGAAAATTCAAGTAAAATTTATTAAAATGCTAGACACCACTAACTTCTTTAATTTTAGACAAGTTTAATGACTAACACTCTTTATAAAGATCAGCGTATAACACAGAACTCAGCATGTCCTGAATACATGTTTATATATTTTAAGGAATCAACTCAGGTGACCCTCACATCCGGACACTTGATGGAAAAATATACACCTTTAATGGCCACGGAGAATATGTGATGATGGAAATAACAAAAGGTGGGACGAGATTTGACTTCCAGGCAAGAACAGAACCGGCAACAACATCGAATGGAACTGTTATCAATGCTACAGTATTCAGTGCTTTTGTGGCTCCAGACCAAACTGGATCCAAAGTGCAAATAGATATGTCGCATGACAAGAAAGGTTAATGAAAAAATAAACAACAATGTTAAAAAGTTCTCTGGGAAATTAATATAGTTGATCACGCGATCAAATCCTGTGATTCTAGACACTTTATTATATAGTAAAAATGCATTATTTCTTTGAAAATCTTCTCTGCTCCTGGACCTTAAATAAACTAACCAAGTACAGGGTAATATTGAAGGGTGCTACCTCTTCTAAAATTGTGCATCTTATGGCCTCAGGGTCAGGAATTCTGGTATTCGGGCAAGGCTCTATAGATTAAATAGTGAAAATGCACAGATTCTCTGAAATTCTTCTACTCTTCTCCTGGGTATTAAACAAATTTAAGTTATGATAAACAAGAATGTCTCCTATAAAATTATGAATTTCACAGCCTCGGGGTCAGGAGTTTTGGTGGTAGGACAATGTTCTATTGATTATATATTGAAAATGCATACATTCTTTGAAAATCTTTCCCTTTTCCTCTGGATAATATGCCAATGATCTAAGTACATCTTAATGACGAAGAAAGGTGTCTCTACCAACACGTTACTTACGCCCTTTGTCAGGGGCACCGGCAGGAAGAGTTACTTTCTCTGAAAATAAATTAATGCCTTACAATCTGCTCTTTGGCATTAATTTAATGTTTACGGTGAAATAAAATTTATGTTAAAATTTCCAAAATTATGAAATATGTGGCCCCAGTGTCAGTGGATTCTGTTGGATTGGGTCCACAACTGGTGGTTTGAAGTGGAAATGCATTTTCTTTTTGTAAATGTGATCTCCCGCTGGGTATTAAGTAACCAAAGTAAGCATACTAAGTCTATGCATATGATAAACAATAGTGCCTCTTTCCAAATTGTGAATTTCATGGCTTTTGGTTTAAAAGACGAACCAAATTCAATTGCTTCAAAGTTGTTTCATGATACTCAAATGACCTATAAGGCCGTGGGGTTTCTTGTTATTTTCAGAATCAAATTTTCAAAAATAAAAAAAAAATGTGCACAAAAAACATGATAAAAGGGGGTTAAAATTTGTTTGAATGAAAGAGTCAAGTCTTCTTTCAGAAGAAAATAATTAAACATAAATCAAATTTATTGGCTTCTTTAAAAAAAATATAAACAAACTACTGGGTTATAATTGAAACTTACATGAAGCTTTTGGTATATAGTGTAGAGGAGAGATTTTTTAAAACATGGCCGCCGAGGATAGGTCTTCAATTTGTCATCAAAGTTTTACACAGAATGTTAAGAAAATCTTTTTCTTGCTCAGGAACAGCAAATGACTAATATTATTTACATATATAGAAACTTCCTTACGTTACGTAGATCCAGTCTTGGTCAAATCATGACCCAGGATAGGGTAGGGCCTCAACGGGATATACAGTTTTTCATACGGGTATATAGAACATGTGAAAATCATTTTCTCAAGAAGAGTAGTCATGGTTATTCAAATGAATTTGGAAGAATCAATCGTAGTGTAAGTCCATATTTATTGAAATCATGACCCTGTGTTTAGGATCGGGCCACAGTAGGCGATCATGGTTTTACATACGGGAATAGAAATGGAAAGGGATAACAGGGCTATATTAGCCTACGTAAACACTGTGGTTCATGTGCCTTTTATTTCATTTTCAGATCTAATAATCAGAGGAAATGGAAATGACTTGACTACAAGATTTCAAAACACAAATTACACTTTCCTAACAAAAAATTTATCCATTCGTTGGGAAAATAAATCCATATCTGCATCTTTTTTCCAGTCCTGTGAGTAGAAAACTATTACTGTTGCAATAATAGCTAGACAAAGATACATGTGAGGTGACCTTACGAACAGTGTATATGTTTTTGATGATATAAAACTTCATATTTTTAGCAATTGTTCTAAAAGTCCGACTTGGAGTACGATTTTTGATTTCGGAGGTTGTGGTTGATGATACGTACATGGGATTTGTCAAGGGATTGATGGGTAACTTTGATGGGAATACTTCAAACGACTTCATTCTCCCAAATGGAACCATTCTAAGTCAGAATGCAACAAGAACAGAACGGGACATTTTCTACAATTTTGGACAGCAATGTAAGTTAGAAGATTTTTGGAAATAATCTTCAAAGTAGTAATGCATGTGGTGTGCAGGTGATTACTCATTTGTTACTTTATTCCAAGGGTCTGTCAATGACAAATCTGTATTCTACTACGATGAGGGTCTAAGTCATAAGAATTTTTCACATCCGGAATTTGAACCTTTATTCATGGATGAAGTAAACGAAGAACGGCTTAATTCGGCTAGAGAAATGTGTGGATCCAATTCCTCTCAAGCCTGTATTTTTGACTTCCTTGCAACAGGAGATATAAGTATAGCCATGTCATCTGCCGATGAAGAAGCTAAATCTATAAAAGACATCGCCATTATAGGTAAAAAAGACATTCAAACCCTGTGAATAAATCACGAGATAAAATAATGTGTTAGTGCTAGTATTGAATGTATTAAATTTTGAAAAATTATATGCCATTTCTTTTTTATATCTTGAAATAGAAAATGAAACCCCAAGAATATCGGGAAATACGACAATAAATGCTGAAGTTAACAGCAAAGTTACGTTAAGATTTAACGCATCTGATGACGGCAAAGAAAGACCAGTGTTTAAAATCTTAAAACAACCAGAGGGATTTAGCCTCAACACAACAACTGGAGTAGCAACATGGACTCCTCTGAACATAAATGTATCCGAAATAAGGTATTTTGTTAACTACCATTTATTTTCCATTATTGTGCTCAGTCAAATATAATGTTGATTATGTCAAGAACAGGTTATGCAAATAAAATTATTTTTATTAAAATTATTGAATATCTGAAAATTCATTCTAGTGTTAGTGTTGTTGATGAAATGGGGGCCGAATCACCATCTCTAGATGTTACAATTATACTGTGTAGCGGATGCAGTAATAGGGGCCAATGTGACTATGAAAATGTCTTAACAACAGAAAATGCTCTCAGTTATAAGGCTGATTGTATTTGCAACATCGGTTATTCAGGTACGAGGTTTTCACTTTCTACATTCTGGAACATTTTGCTTTACATATAGTTGAATGGTTATAAATAATCCATCGTGGCTGGTTTATTAAATCACAAACACATATCCCATCACGCACACCCTCACACACACGAACAAACCCTTCCACCAACACATGCATCTATTGAATTATTTTGGGGGTTTATTTTAAGGTGAGAATTGTGAACAAGACATAGATGCTTGTGTTCAGAGTCCATGCTCTCTAGATAGAAATTGTACCGACCTTACTCCTGCTGAAGAGGTCATGATGGGTCGAGGATACAACTGCTCAGAGTGCCCACCTGGCTTTGTGGATGTTGATACTAAATGCGCAGGTCTTTAATTCGCTTCAAATTTAAAATTCAACAGTGTCTCCATTCAATTTCCCCTATTTTAAATTAAATTTAAAATCTGTTCTCAAAAAAGGCATGCTCCTTTCTTTAGATGTTGATGAGTGTGCATCTGTTTTCTCCAACTCCTGTAATGCTTCTACCGAGATATGCGAAAATACAGAGGGAAGCTATATCTGTAATTGTTTTAGTGGTTATAGAAAAGTGAACAACATTTGTCAAGGTAAGTAGAAAATTCACCTCTTTGTGTTTCGTATTTTGCTTGCGAGCATTGAATGTAGAATGTACCCTTAAAATGTATTTATTCACATAACGCGTCGTACAAAAGACCAGCAGCTTCCATAACAGTTTCTGGGTTAAGGTTCATGTTAAATCATGTCAGAAATAAAAATCAGCTCTAATATTTTGGCACTCCTAAGCAAGAACAATACTGTTTTAAAGTATATTTAAATCTTTGAAACTTTGATCTACTATAGTAAAAATTTTAATTAATTCAAATTCAATATTTACATCAAAAAATTAAAGAACAAATGTTTACTGAATTTGATAGAGCAGGTAATTTGCCTCTATATGACTCAAATTTCAAATGAGAGTATTATTAGTTACACAGTCAGTTAGTGACCTAATACGGATTCATACAGGGTGTGAAATGGAAATCCGTATTGGGCGAGGCGAAGCCGAGTCCCAATACGGATTTCCATTTCACACCCTGTATGAATCCGTATTAGGTCACTAACTGATTGTGTAACGAATTTATCCCGCTGAAGATCTTTTTCAATGTAAAAAAAAAAATATTTGTGCATATTATGAAAATATTAGTTTTAATCCAATAACAATCAACATAAAATATCGTTACGGTAACAAGAAATTTAACTAAACTACCTCGTTAACCGTTTCTTAGCCGCCATTTTTATTTACAATAACAACGCTTCGAACGGAATCGCGTGCCCGATTTTCATATTACGCCTCGACGGAGACGTAATATGGAAACGGAGACGTAATACGGAAAATTTCAGGGCGTCATGTGATTAGCTTTTATCCAATCAGTAATCGACAAATTTGTCTGAAGCGGGATAAAATAATTTCCTTTCTCCATAAATAAAATTATATAAGCATAAAATGGTAAAATATTGCATAATTGTTGCTTAATAATTGATTCATCAGTGCGAGATACAACCTCACATTAAATTCATTTCTTGAATTTTTTTACGGGAGAAGTCGTGTTTATGAGGTTATAAGAGACTAAGACCATGAAATACGGTATAATATAAAGTCAAGAATGGGAAACCAAAATATTATTCCATAGGTGTATATAATTAAAGTTTCAAAGTTTTAGCTATTGTTAACTTATTTGTAAATTGAAATGTAGAACAACCCTCACCCCCCCCCCATCCCCCAAAACGCATAAAAAAGTATTTGTAAACTGACTGTATTGACCAGATTCAGTAAAAAAAAAATGAGTGCTGAATTTTTATATAATGTATTGTAGGGGGAGTCGATTAGTCCCTGAACGTAATTTTCAAAATCTTGCCCGAATTTCATGACTTTTCGAATGAATACGTGATTTTTAGTTCTAATATGTTTATTCAAAATTACCATTTTAATTGATTTATAAGATTTGAAAAAAAGTTTGTTTCAAATCAAAACCGCCTTCTCAATGCTGTGCATTTTTTCGTTAGGCCCAAGATTTTATTTCTTTTGGTTTAGGATTCCACTGACTCTAATTTTTAGGTCACCTGAGTAAACTCAGGTGACCTATTGCTATCTGTTTTTGTCCGTCGTCGTTCGTCGTGCGTCGTTCGTCGTTCGTCGTGCGTTAACATTTGAACATTTTCAGCTTCTTCTCTGCAACCACAGAACCAATTTCAACCAAATTTGGTACAAAGCATCTATGGGTGAAGGGGAACAAAAATTGTGAATTTCATGATCCCTGCCCCCCTGGGGCCTGAGGGGTGGGGCCAAAACCACTAAAATTAGTGCAATCTTTTAAAATCTTCTTCTTTACCCCTGGACATCAAGCAGTCAAACTGTTTGCATGATTGTAATCAGCAATAAGTCCTCTACCAAAATTGTGAAATTCATGGCCCTGGGGTCAGGGGTTCTAGTGCTAGGGCGGGGCTAAATAAGTAGGTAGTGAAAATGCATTATTTCTTTGAAAATCTTCTTCTCTGCTCCTGGGTATTAAAGAAACCAACTAAGTACATAGTTATGATGAGCAAGAGTGCCTCTACCAAAATTGTGAATTTTATGGCCCCAGGGTCAGGGGTTCTGGTGTTAGGGCGGGGCTCTATTGATTATATAGTGAAAATACATTAATTCTTTGAAAATCTTGTTCTCTGCTCCTGGGTATTAAATAAACTAACTAAGTACATAGTTATGATAAGCAAGAGTGCCTCTACCAAAATTGTGAATTTTATGGCCCCAGGGTCAGGGGTTCTTGTTTTAGGGTGGGGCTCTAATGATTATATAGTGAAATGTATGAATTCTTTGAACATCTTATCCTTTGCTCTTGGTTAATATGCTAATGATCTAATTACATATCTAAGGCCAGGATTTATTTTATTTTCAGTTTTATAAACCCTCCGCTCAAGGTTTTGAACTTTTAGAAAAAAATAAAACAATTTTTTTTTCTTTCCGATGTCAAATTTGAGTCGGGATCGAGATTTCAAATTTACGAACTCGCACTTCCGGTTTTTAGATGAAACGGAAACGGCGGGTAAATAAAGCTAGATCCAAGAATTTAGCATGGTTTAGTGTAAAATTCATCGATAAGAGTGCCATTCAAAACGTTTCACCCGTTCAAAGGACAAATAAAATGCTGACGACTTTGTTGCACAATGACATGCTGGTGAGATAATTATGTATTCGTTTCAAAAGTAACTGTAAATTATTTTCCTCCCCAGGTTTTAAACTGCCCGTGGTAGCTATTGCATATTGTCAGGGACATTGTTTAGGTCTCTGTTATAGCTTTCAGTCTAAGCATCATTCTTCAGAAAATGGTTGCTTATGCATCAGATGTAATGAATAAAACTATGGGAGAAGTGAAGTCCATTTGAGGAAGAAATAAACAATAACCTGAAGTGAAGAAATAAAAAAAATTCAACTATTAAAAGGCAAGAATATACAAATATATGTAGTATCATTTATATCAGCCAGAAAAATTATTTTACACTTAATTGAAAAAATGTTGACCCTACTCCCCAATACTTCCTGTCTGTTTTATGATAGGAATTATAATTTTAGGCATCAAGTAAATTTTAGAACAATGTCTACACATTCACCTAACACATATTAAGAAAATGAAGATGTATTGAAAGACTTTTAAAGAATTAATTTTTTAAAATATATTTTGATCAACATCACAAAATTTATATAACTGGCCCAAACTGGCAGATGATGAAATAAGCAATTAAATGTTCTACTTTCCTATTTGCAAGCATTATGTGTCCAGTGGTAAGGAGCCTATTAGGATAGCATAAAAAAGAATGTACAAATGTTAATAATTGATTTATCAAAAAAAATCATTTCCTTTTGCTTGCGGGACTTTTTTATTCTCATGTTCATAACTAAACCTAAACATAAAAAAAAATGCTGGCCTTATAATGAAGAAAGGGTCCTCTTTCAAAATAGATAATTTCAGGGCTGCTGGGTCAGGGGTACCAAGGGGGTACTTTGACTAAAAATAAATTAATGCTTTGAAATCTCCCCTTTGATGAGCAATTATGCCTCTTTCAAAATTCGTGAATTTCATGGATTTTGGCTTAAAACGCGAACCAAATACAATCGCTGGAAAGTTGTTACATGATACTCAGGTGACCTATAAGGCCCGTGGGCCTCTTGTTACCAATCATGCAAATAAAAAAAATATTTCTTTGTCCCGGCATCTTTTTCCGAGTTTTTCTCAGCTGAACTTGTGTCTTCAAAATTTAGGATGCATTTTAGTCAAATAAGTGATTTTCAAAATATGCTTAAGACACCTTCACAACATTTAGGTGACCGTATATAATCACATGTCAAGTCCAAAATGTGGAATCTGTCATGAAATCCTTTCTTCCACATCTATAAATTTGACTTTTGTTTTCTTTCATCAAATAACGATGACATTTTATAAAGGCATTTCACGAACTTTGATCAACCCTCGTACAATTGGTATGCAGTTTTAAAATTCAAAACCGCATTACTCCAGTTTAAAGAAGATCAGTAGAATCCTTAATCTTATTTAAAACACCCGGTGCTTAATTTGGAGACAGATGATCGAAAACCAAAACAAAGAAGTAAAACAGTGGCCTTTCGTTTTATAGCAACATGAACATGTAAAAGAGCAACATAAAAAGTAATAGAGAACAAGTTTTTAATGTTTCAGGATTTGTTGTTAATTTTAGCTATTTTGTTTGTAAAGCAAATATGACAAAGAAAGTGTCAATTTTGACAGACATCAAAAATGACGCGTTTTAAGATTTTATATACTCAGTAAAAATACTAATTCGACATTTGTAGAAATTGATGAGTGTTTTGAGGGCACTGCAGACTGTGAACAAATATGTCAAAATACACAGGGGTCGTTTTTTTGTGATTGCCACTTGGGATTTAATTTAAATTTAGACAAAACGTCGTGCATGAAATCAGGTAAGAATACAGGTTTCATCTAAATTTGAAAACTTAGCTCTCTGTGATTTGTTTATCATTTTCAATAATCTTTCAACAAAGACGTCTGACTCAGCATGTATTTTGAAAACAAGCTGATGAACTCGTAATGATAACCGTTTAGAACTTTGCTTGTTGTAGAACAAAACTTCTGTGAAAACTTTGATATGTGTGAATACTCTTGTGGAAATATTACTGGAACATTACAGTGTGTATGTCCGCTAGGGTACCAATTGGCATCTAACGGCATAAACTGTAAAGGTAAAAACTAATTTCTACGTAAGACCTATAAACATTTAAACATTTTGACAACTAGGATACATACGTTACATAAAGAATCAATACATTCAATGTTTTGGTGTAAAAAAATTATTTAAGCTCCCTGATTAATCCAAGATTTATTTGATGAAAGTTATAAGAAAGTAAAGTGAATACATGAATGATGCGTCGTCTAATACAAGGTATTTGCACGGGTTTCAATGTCATTTTCATTTAAATTTTCAACCATAGAAACGGTAGTCAACATTCACGATAAATTGTGGCGAAATGGATTAATTCAATTATTAAATGAAGAGAACGTGAAAATTTACATAATTTAAAGTGAATGCATAATTTAAAAGTCATGATACCTTATACATGTAGTGACTTTTTATAATGTTTTGATGGTTTTATCTGACAGTCTTTTATTTAATATGATTTAGATGTTAATGAATGCGAACTTGCAACTACAGCATGTGCTCAAGATTGTATCAACACTAAAGGATCATTTAATTGCTCTTGTCGACCTGGATATTTCTTAAATGAGGATAAAACATCATGTTCAGGTAGAACAACACCTCGGACATTAATATTCCTTCTGACAAATAATCAGTCTATGTAATGTATATTTGAAATGTACATTTTCTACATAAAAATAATTGATATCATTATGTAAATCAATCAACAAATTTGTATTTGCATGGGTTTTATTACATATTTGTTTTTGTTTTCCTTACTAAAACCATAATTTATCTTTTGGAATTTTGGGAAATTTAGAACTATTTTGAGCAGACATTTTAAGCTGGATAAAGATAGTTTAAAATAAAAGTGCTTAAGAAACATTTTATTTTTCTTTGATGACTTTAAAACGAATTGGTACATGAAATATGAATTTCTGCAGAAATCCATTCCATGGCTCAAACTTATATTTGATTCTCATAGACGATGCGCAATGTAAAACATATTTAATTTACTGTATGTGATTCCGACTTCAACTTTTATTTTGTATAATTTAATGTTCAAATGAAGAACAATGCTCTTTTTTGAAACTGCAGAGTGTGAGATTCCTCATTATGGAGAAAACTGTAGCAAACTATGTGAGTGTGGTTCTGGTGGAGACAAGTGTGATCCTGTCAGTGGGTGTGTCTGTCTGTCAGGATGGACAGGTGTGAAATGTGACGAAGACATAGATGAATGCTCAGTAGACCCATTTATATGTGGTTCTGACCGAATATGCCAGAATCTGGAAGGTTCATATTCGTGCATGTGTGGGGATGGTTTTGATATAAACGATGGTAAATGTGAAGGTATGTTAAAAAGTAGGGAGACCTTGTAAATAATTTAATTTCCAAAATTAAAGTACTGAGGATTATTCTCTTGCCTAGAATATATTTGTTCTTAAATAGTGTGTTTTTGTAGATATTGACGAGTGTGCTGACGAGGGCTTAAATGATTGCCCGGAATTAACAACATTTTGCCGCAATACAATTGGTAATTACACATGTGAATGTCAAAGTGGATTTCAACTTATAAACGACGAATGTGAAGGTAAGTATCATACAAAAAAAAAACTTTACTTGTAATAAAATCCAATTTTTATGATCAATAATCATTCTGAATTATCCTAAATGATACGAATTCTGCTTTCATATTCTCAAGTTTGACTCAATTTTACTTGATGATTTTTGTTAGATTTCGAGAAAGAAATTATTTCTTCCTTCTTATTTATACGTCTATTTTAATTAACACAAATGTTTTCAGATATAAATGAATGTGATTCCGGACGACACAGCTGTTCCCAACTGTGTATCAATGTACATGGTGATTATAATTGCGCATGTTATCCTGGATTCAACCTTCAAAACGATCGGAAATCGTGTGAAAAAGGTTAGCATTTTTCCTTTCTAAATGGTTGTTGCTTTTTTTGCAATACATTATCTTCATACATTTTCATACGAGGGCATCTTCTTTCTTATTTTTTTTAAATAAACAGTTAATGAAATTACTGAAACTGTGGAACATTTACAATAAATGACTTTAAACTGATTGTATGAAAACATTAAATCTCTCTAAAATATTTTCTTTAATTTTAGTTAAGGACACCTGTTCCCTATCTCCGGGGATAGACTGTAGTTACGGTTGCATCCAAAATGTACATGACCCAGGGGAAACTATTTGTTTCTGTGAACACGGCTACAAACTTGATAGTGACAGGAAAACGTGCATTGGTATCGAAAATTTTGTTTTTCCTCATGTATATTTTTGAATATGACTGCATATTTGTTCCCTTTATTTGCATTTGACAAGAAAAAGCATATTGTTTGAAATTTATGTCTTTTTTTTAGACATTGATGAGTGCCAAAATAATACAACTTGTGAGCAGAACTGCACAAATACGGTAGGGTCCTTTGAATGTGGATGTGAAATTGGATATGAGCTTCAAAATGATGGAATATCATGCAAAGGTACATTCATATACTGTGTATACAATGTCGATATTTGACATACAATGTATCTAAGAATGCATATCGTTGGTAATAAATGGAAGAAAAAATGATTGGAATTTTTACACTCCTTATGATTACTAACTAGTATTAGATCCCATTTGTTGATAAAATTTACTTTTCTTTTTATATTAGCATGCAATGGTTATTTCTATGGTAAGGAATGCAACACCCCATGCAGATGTGGGCGGGGATCCACTGCTTGTCATCACATCAGCGGTTGTGTCTGTGAACCTGGATGGACAGGAGAAACTTGTGAAACAGATATTGACGAATGTAAACTGAATCCATGCATTGGTGAACATGAGCTATGTCTCAACACCCCAGGGTCATACCGATGCGATTGTGTTACTGGTTTTAACAACTCAAACGGAAGTTGTATAGGTTAGAAAGTATCTATGAAAGGTTCATCAATGGCATCGAATTTCACTGATGACATTTAATGATGTCTATTGTGCTTTCAAGTGAAACAAGCGCTTGACATCAGTATAAAAATGGCACATTTATTTCTTTTTTCGCTCTCAATTAAATATTTGCCATTAATGGTTTCTTTTTTATTTTCCTCAATAATTTTCATAGACATTAATGAATGCCAGAGTCCAACATCGTGCCAACAGATTTGTACAAATACACAGGGAAGTTACCAATGCGACTGTAATACTGGCTTTAATCTATCGAACGAAAAATACTGCATAGATATAAATGAATGCATCGATGCAAGATGTCAGGATTGCAATAACTGGCCTGGAGGTTTCGAATGTTTGTGTGACCAGGGATACAAAGTCAACACAACAACACATAAAGAGTGTCAGAGTATGTTTCTTATCAATTTCAATTAAAATTATAAATTTATTTTTAAAAAAAATTCACGTAATCAAATCAAAAAAGCGCATGTTCTTTTAAATAACCAGTTCCTGATTTCAAAAAGATTTTTTACAAAACGTAAGTCGTTTGATTTTATACATTTTTCCAGATATTGATGAATGTGCTGATGGGAGTAACCAATGCTCTTCTGATGCTATATGCACAGATTCGATAGGAAGTTATTTGTGTGAATGTCCCCGAGGATTTAAAGGAAATGGATTCACATGCCAAGGTTGTTAATAGTTTGGTATTTTTCTGCGTTCACAACAACTTTTTAATCCTTTGAGAAATGATTTTGTTTTGTTTTCATATTTGAAAATATTATTTTTTAGCTTGCCAGAACTTCACTTTTGGTGACCAGTGCTCCCAAGCATGCACATGTATAACTAACCAAACAGAGTATTGCAATGCCTCTTCGGGTTTCTGTCAGTGTATCACAGGATGGGAAGGGAGCGATTGTTCAAAGGATGTGGATGAATGTCAGGACAACATAACTCAGTGTGATCAAGAGTTACAACAAGCATGTGTCAATACACCTGGCTCCTCCCACTGTGAATGTCGATTTGGAGGATTAAACCTTGACAACTGTGTTTGTGAGTAAATTCCATGTTTTTTTTTAACAAGAACTTGCATTGATAACAGGATTTCATATTCTATTCAATGTTGTACTGGTAATGATGACAGTAGTATTTAAATTGTTATACTCCGACACGTTCTCTGAAAATACTTCATTGACTAATATTATTATTTTTAATGTCTGAAATTGCAGATCCAGAATCAACTTACAGAACAAGTGAGATTTATATCTTCAGCATACATTTCTTCATCGTTTCAAATATAATCTTTAACATATAAGTTCAAAGATATTCCTCATAAAATAAAATTAATTTTCAATAGAAGAACAAAAACGTATACCAGTCATGAAGAAAAACCAAAAGAAAGCTAATAATGTTTTTATTCTTCTGTTAATTTTATTGATCAGGCTACTTTGATATTTGCAACTGAGGATTTTTTTTTACAGATCAAACAGAAATGAAAGTCAAAGTTGAGATAGAGTTTGCCAGCAATATTAGCCGTCTGGAATTCCTTCTAACAAGCCAGAAATTACGATACCAATTCCAAGTAGCCGTATGTAAACTTGAAACCTTTTTCATGTTATGCTTAGTTAAGTATGTAGTCGTGTTCCAGGATTTTTATGTACTTTTTTCATATATAGCACACTGTATTTTTTTATTAAATGTTTTACTGTAGCATTGAATATTATTTTGTAAATCCAGCTGGAAAATTATTACAAGCAAGAAAATGTAAGCGGGTTTCTTGTTCTGAAAGTCTTATCGATTCGGTAAGTGTACCTAAATTTACATTTATCCTTGTAAAGTGTACATCAATTTTGATCAAAAGTGGACGTTTAACTTTATTCCTGGCAATAAATGCCTTGTACAAATTAATCTTATGACACAAACAGAGAAAAGGCTTATATAAAATCATATAAAAAGCCAAAATGAGAATATCTGCCCTTAGCTGGACTTGAATCCATATATACTTGAATGACGTCTTTATGATATACTTTTAATGCAATGCTATTTGATCCAGTTTAGTCCATTTATGTAGTACATTTGTTTGGTAACGTTGTCATTGTATATTATATGGTATTATGTAGGAAAAATCAACTTTGGAATTTTTTTCAACCTTGGCCAATTTTTTGGTCAAAATCGGACGTCATGATAATATCATATTTAGACCTGTACTCTGCAATTACGTACGGTACGTGATCATATAAGCAGTAAGGGATCTTTAATGTACCAGCAACAGCTACGAAACGGGATCTCAAATTCTGCAATTTCATCTGAAAGACCGATTTTGCAGTGGTATTCGACAACCCACCTCCCCTGACATGAAGTCCTTAACTCCCTAATAACCCCGCTTTTCTAGAGAAAATACTCTAATCATGGTAAGAACAAACGTTCATTGAAACGATGCAAATCGGGAGCACAGCGAAAACAGACCTTCAAAATCATCGGAGCTAGTAGGACCAGATGCCATATGCATAACAGAATAAATATCATAAAACGACTGGTTACAATCGCTGTGTCCCTAGAAAATTCAATGTGTAAACAGTTTGAAAAACGTTTGTAAGAACTGGTTCTAATTTCAATTTATATTTTCTGCCAAGATCATTGTATTCACCATAGAACTCACAATATGGTGACTTAAAACGAGAAAATTACATGTGAATTCTTGTTTTTTCGTAAGCTTGTTTTTCAATTGCCTGACTTGTTTAAAAATTATTCTTCAGTAGATTATGATTTTTCGTATCGAATCAATTGATACATATATATTCTATATTCAGGTGATAAAGCCTAGGGTACATCACTACATAAGTGAGGGAGATTGATGTTCAAAACGCTTAACCATCAAGTTTTATTGAGTTTTGATGTTAGGTTATTATTGTAATACTGTACATAACAATATGCATTACGCAGATAACAAATAGACGCTCCAGACTCTGTAGTATCTTTTATTTTGAGTTAACTGAGATATATCGAGTCGACATATGAATGATAGCTAATGCTGTCTCAGATATAGCTAAATGTCAAATTGAAGGCCACAGCATCAAAACAAGAACATCTGCGGTACCAGTTTATGCCTGATGCATGAAGGCATAAAAGTAATTGAGTATAAAATATATATTGCTTTAAACAGTTTGAAAGCATTAAAAGAATTATTAATCTGCTTCAAAACAACGAAATGAGTAAGCATATAGATCAATCACGATTACGTTTGTCAAAAACACAATATGTCATAACGGTATTGAATTCCTTGCAAATCGCAGGGTTTTATGTAATAAACTTTAGTTAAAATGTTTTAATTTTTAAGTAAATTCATTTTTTCTTATTTGCAGTCTTTGAACCTTTTTGACATATTATAAATTATATATAAATCTTTACAGTTATCTTTTTCAGTTACTTTTCTCATGTGCATACAAAACACATGTATTTATGACTGAGCAGCACGTAATAAACTTACAACATATATGTATAATGTGTTTCTTAAGGCATATTGTTTCTCAAACCTCAAATATCTGATTATAAGAATAAGAGACCTTCGTCAACTACGAATTTTTTTTCAAACTTACAGATTCGGAAGTTTGATTGTTGACTTTGAAATTATTGGAAATAAGAGTGAATCAGGCGGATTTAAAAGCGACCTTGCATCTGGCATGACTAAACTGTTAAGTGGAGACAGAAAGCTCATTGTATTGAATCAAACACAAGCTATCATACAAATCATGATAAAAGATCTAAGTGGCACACCAATTACATGTAAGCAGACTATTTATTTTTAGGTCACCTGAGTAAACTCAGGTGACCTATTGCTATCCGTTTTCGTCCGTCGTCGTGCGTCGTGCGTTAACATTTGAACATTTTCAGCTTCTTCTCTGCAACCATTGAAGCAATTTCAACCAAATTTGGCATATAGCATTTATGGGTAAAGGGGAACAAAAATTGTGAATTTCATGGTCCCTGCCCCCCTGGGACCTGGGGTGGGGCAAAAACCACTAAAATTAGTGCAATCTTCAAAAATCTTCTTCTTTACTCCTGGACATCAAGCAGTCAAACTGTTGGTATGATTGTAATCAGCATTGAGTCCTCTATCAAAATTGTGAAATTCATGGCCCCAGGGTCAGGGTTTCTAGTACTAGGGCGGGGCTATGTAGTGAAAATGCAATATTTCTTTGAAATTCTTTTTTTCTGCTTCTGGGCATTAAATAAACTAACCAAGTGCACAGTTAAGTTGAAAATGACTGCCTTATCCAAATTTGTGAATTTCATGGCCCCAGGGTCAGGGGTTCTAGTGCTAGGGCGGGGCTATATAGATTATGCGAAAATGCATAAATTTTTTGAAATTCTTCTTTTCTGTTCATGGGCATTAAATAGACTAACCAAATGCATAGTTATGTTGAATAAGGCTGCCTCTTCTAAAATTGTGAATCTAATGGCCCCAGGGTCAGGAGTTCTAGTGCTAGGGTGGGGCTATAAAGATTATATAGTAAAAATGAATTATTTCTATGAAAATCTTCTTTTCTGCTCCTGAGTATTAAATAAACTAACCAAGTTCATAGTTATGTTGAATATGGCTGCCTCTTCCAAAATTGTGAATTTCATGGCCTCTGGGTTGGGGCTTATGGTGTTAGGGTGGGGCTCTATTGATTATATAGTGAAAATGCATAAATTCTTTTAAAATCTTCTTTTCTGCACCTGGGTATTAAACTGATAAACTATGTACATAGTTATGAGGAAGAAGGATGCCTCTTTGATCAATGAGATTTGCGAATTTCAGAGTCCCTGGGTCAGGGCTTCTTGTGTTAGGGTGGGGCTTTAATGTTTATATAGTGAAAATGTAGGAATTCTTTGAAAATCTTTTCCTTTGTTCATAGGTATTATGTCAATGATCTTAGAATATATTTATGATGAAGAAAGCTGCTTCTTCCAAAAATGGTTAATTTCCTGGCCCCTGGGACAGAGGTACTTGGGAAGGGGGGAGATACATAGTCTGAAAATAATTTAATGTGTGAAATCTGCACTTTGGTATTAATCAACAACATGATGAAATAAAATTTCCAAAATTTTGAAAGATGTGGCCCCAGGGTTAGTGGTTCCTTTTGGATGGGGTGCGCAACTGATAAAGTGGAAATGCATTTTCTCTTTGTTACTCTGATCTACCTCTGGGTATTAAGTAAACAAAGTAAGCATGCTGAGTGTATATTTATGAAAAGCAATGGTGCCTCTTTCGAAATTGTGAATTTCATGGCCTCTGGTTTAAAACATGAATCAAATTCAATTGTTGGAAAAATGTTGCATGATACTCAGGTGACTTATAAGGCCCATGGGCCTCTTGTTCTTTGTACTTTTAGATGAACAAATAAATCAGTCCAAAAAAACCCGCCAAAGAATATTACGGGTCATGCAGACATTAAGTAAATTTATAAAAACATTCTTCATATCGTACATAAGCTTTTATAAACCTCTTTAATCAATTAATATGCTTTTGTGTACCGAAATGGATTATCTTAGATTGAAAATATTTGTCGTTTTTCTTTCATAGATATTTCGTCTAAAGCCAAACCATGTTTTGTGTTTGAAAGTTTTGGCGGCAGCTGTGTATATGGTGAAACATGTGACGACTCTTCTGGGGAAGCAACTTGTGTGTACGTTAATTACGTTAATAGTAAAATTGAAATCATTCTACCACAAGCATATGCATGGTCTTTCCAATCCTACAAACAATAGTTAAAACTAATTATAACGAAAGGCCATCTTTTTTACAGGAATAATTCAGCAAACGAAAGTGAGTCAATTTATGTTGTGCTATTATTAATTAGTTTCTTGATAAGTCTTAAGTACATGTTAAACAGAAAGATTTTGTTTGGAAAAATAAAAAATACAACAGAAGTAACAGCATATTAATCGCATTTCAAGATTTTTCAAGTTGTAGTTCAGAAATACGACGGAAAAAAATAATTTAGTTTGTATATTTTAGACTCACTGATTCTACTTATCCTGATTGGAGTAAGTTGTGGATCCCTATGTATCATAATACTTGCATCATGTGTGTGCTGGAAATGCCAAAAGAAGTATCAGAAGTATCAAACAAAAATGTAAGTTTAAATTATAAGAAACGGTTAAACAGCAGAATTAAAATGAATAATTTTGTTGTGTTAGTTCCAAATTTGCCAGAATTTGAATTTTTGCCGGAATTTCTTACACGTTTTTGAGTAAGGACCAGATTTGGTAGATAAATGTAGATTTCTTAGTCCGATCACTAAAAGAACTTGCGAAAGTTTTACTTAAACTAGGTTCTCATAACTTATATGTCAGTAGATTGCGTACTTCAGAAAGTGCTTGTAGATAAAGCATGATCTTGCGTATCAAAATCAAATTGGAGCCTTTTTCTAGTAAAGTTTCCAAATACTGTAAATCACTTTTTATTCGCGAGAACTTTATTTTCGCGTAATTACGCGAGACGGAATGCTCGCGAAAATTTCATTCTCTCGTATTATAGAATTACTTTAGATTATATAGAGAATGACCACACTTCGTGAAAATTTTGTCTCGCTAATAAAGAGTCAATGACTATCTCGCGAAAATAAGGCGTCGCGAAAATTAAGTAATCTACAGTACATGTATGATACAGACGAGTCAAACTATGTGATTTACATTCTATCTCCAGTTTAAAATGATATATCAAATCAACATAAGAAAAAAATGAATATCTTTTACCCCTATATCACTGAGAAAACTCCATTCAATGAGACTCTCATAGAATCTTTATTTCATAGTGCCAAAGTACACCTTTAAATCATTTCGATGAAGGATATGGAGATAACGAACAGTATTCAATATCAAAGTCTAGATCTGACACAATTTTTTTTAGTTTTTCAAAATACAATCTGAACACTGACTGTAACATTGGGGTACGGTACCCATTTTTTTAATTTCAACAGCTCCTTCAAGTACACCACTGAATAAAACCATAACCTATTTTTTAGTCTACTGCTGGCTGGGGTTCATCATATTATTTATATAGTAATTGTATATTGTTTAACGTCCCTTTCGAGGTTTTTTTTCACTTATATGCAGACGTCACCACTTCCCTGTGAAGAGCTGCAAACTTTGTCCTATACTCGGTACTCAGAGCCATTGAGCAGGGAGGGATTATTTTTGTGCCAGCACATACTGCGACACGAACCTCCGTTTATATGATCTCATCCGAAAGACCAGTCTTCACGTCCCACAGTGGGATTCAACCCCGCGAAGTAAGGATTGACTCCTTACTTCACATGACATTCGACAAGTTGTTTTGGGAGGCCCAACTCATCTATTGCCTTGGATGTTCCACTCAAGTGCTAGGCGAGGAATGTCTCCCGGTGGTTTTTGGAGGGTATGCTCAATCCACCACCACTTTCTACAGGCTATTTGCTGAGTGATTGGGTTTTGGTTTTATTGTTTCCCACATGTTCTTGTTTATATTTTCTCACACCTGATGTTAAGTATGTGGTGCAGACAGCTGTTCGTGAATGTATGTAGTTTGAAGGAGGAAGGTAGTATTGGTATCTCTCCATGTTTCAGACCCGAAGAGGGGCACATACTTAATTATGACTTAATTACGTTTTTCAAATGTGGGCAAAGTGTTGATCTCCATACAGGCTTGAGGGTGATGAACACGTGTCTCATTTCATAAATTCTTGCTTTCTGTCTTTATCTGTTCCTCCAGTGCCCGTGACGATGCTGCCTTAGTATGTAGAGGAGTAGAGGAGTCTACATCTTTCAGGTTATGCTCTCCAAGAGTGATTGGTGTTTGCTGATTGTAATGGAGTTGCATTATCTCTGTTTTGTCAATGTCCACCTGTTGACTTGTCTTTCCTGCCTTCCTTGCAAGCCTCTTTGTCTAGAGTTGCATATGATCCTTTGGGACGTAATGCATAGATCATCAGCAAATTTGAGGTCTTCCAAACACTGATCTCTAGTTGTTTCCCGCATAATCCAGTGTACTGTTTCTGGGAAATCATTAGAGACAGTAGACAGCCTTGTCCTACCCCTGTCTGCACCTCAAAAACTTCTGTAAGCTTTCCACTGTGGTTGACTTGGCATAAAGCATCGTCATACAAATTTATGTATGAGGTTTCTGAAGGTAGGGGACGTTCCAAAATGCTTGAGTAATTTCCAGATGACGTTTCCATCAAAACTTTTAATTCCCTTTATCGATGAATTTCAGATATAGCGTTGACTACCACTGTAGTTACTGTTCGATTATTACATCTGGCGATCTGGTCTGTACAGGGCGTGTCCTTCTAAAGCTTGTCGTGTTCTAGACGAAGTCTTTCTTCGAAAGCATCTTAGACCCTTTCCAGTATTATTCTTGTCAGGATCTTGCTTGGGATAGAGAGGAACTTCATGCCGTGCCAGTTCTTGTATTGTTTCGGGTCTCCTTTCTTGGGGAACTTCATTAAATGTCCTTTTTTCAATCAGCTGGTACCTTCTCCTCTGACCAGATCTTCAGCAGGAGATGTAATATTACTATATATGCTAAAGTCTTTATATCTGCATTAAGAGGTTCTGGGTGGATTTGATTTTTGATTACCTATGTCTATTTTATGTCCTGAATCTATGATTTGTTCTTCAGAATTGACATATCGGAAACAAACGTGAAATACAGGGAGTCGTCTAATTTGACGAGCGGAAAGAAATATAAACTTCCAGAGAGAAAGGGCGTAAAACGTAGGTGGATTTTTTGGTATATAAAACGTATTCAGTTTTCTTTTAATAATTACATGAAATTAACAAAGCTACATTTATTCATTAAAGACTTTAAAGATACAAAATAAAATATTTTTTTCAAAATATCTTGTAAAATAACAAATTAACTACGAATTCATAAGTTAAATTAATCATTTTTAACACATACATTTTGATTTTTCATTAAATCAAAGGTTTCTGATTTTAATAATTCATTCAAGCTTTGCTATGTCCTATAAAGTGAAAAGCAAGTGAATATTTTGATGAGAATGACAGCAAAACTGTAGAATTTTGAACAATTGATGAGAAGTTTACAATTTTAGTATATATACTTTTGAAAGGTGATGTTTGCATCATTTAAAACCAAAATTGGTCCAAAGACACATAACAATGCAGGCATATATTTCTTTGTTCATATGACCTTTGTGACCTTAAAAGTGTTTTATTATTTACTGTACAGATATAATAAGCTCTTAAACAAAGGACTCATTTTATTACATTAAATTTTCGCATTCTTGTTATTGTAGCGGCATGGGAACTGGCAGATGTGGAATCAATCTGAATGAAAATAAAATACTGAGGAAAAGACCTACAGATGATACGTGTATCAAATAATATTCAATTAATATAAAAAGTGCGAATCTTTATAAGGATATACGGAAAATGTATCTGTTCATTGGAAAACTTTTTGTGTACAAAGTCTTACGATGATTTTATTTTTATGTTTGCAGATTTAATTTGTTACGGATTATTTTATGAAGATTTGGCTATTTGATTTGTTACATGACTTCGGTCTTGTTAGAATATTAATGTTTTTACTTTTTGATTTGCACTTAAATTTGCTTTACATGTTTAAATATTAATCCAATATTTTATTTCTTTAGTATCTCTAAATTAACTTTTGAAAGTAATATGCATATATTTAATAAAAAAAAATATATTCTAGAGATTAAATCAGCGAATCCGATGGTGAAATATATATTTTGCACATCAAACTAAAGACTTTAGAGTTGTTTATTAAATGATCAGGAATTCTGGTGCTCTCTGTTCGTGAGATGTACCTCAGAGTGAGTTCACCTCATATGTCGTTCTGGGGGGTTTATTCGGCTTTTACCTCTTGACCAACCATAGATTTGCTTATAGTTTTTTTCGACCAATCAGATTGTTCGTTTCAAAGCTTGTGTCGGTGTGAATGTACACATGTCAGACGCCAGTTCCAAGGAGATTAAACGCTTTTGAAAGTAGATGGTTGAGTATTGATTGTTCAATAATATTGTTTTCCATTTTTATTTACTAGCTGTTAAGCTGTTAAAGTATAACAAAATGTGAAAAGTGTTGTTACACTTTGCATTTTATTATGAGTGTTTATAATTGATGGAGACAAGAACGAAATTGTCAAAAAGTGTTGTAAAATTCCAAATCATTTAATAAAACGGTTTTTGAATTTTGAATTCGGTCTACTCGTGACTATACGGAAGACCTCGGTCAATCAATACCTGACCAGTCACGAGTAGACCTCATCAAAGTCAATAATTGTATAATATCATAGTTACTTCTTCTTTATTCAGAATGGAGCCAATTACTCGGTAATGGGTCTGTATGGAGTAAAATACTACACAGAAGTAGTATGATTTGGGCTCATGAGTATTCCTAATTATATCTCCAAGGGACAACAGACAGTAATTCTCAAGTACATAGAGGATTAAATCATCACGTTTTTGTTAAAATTCTTTTATGTCTTACCCAAAAACTTGGTTTAATATACTGGAAAGTACAACAGAGTATTAATATGAAAAGGGTCACAGACTCTTGCAAAAACATGACTTATACGTGGGGCAATTTGCTAATTTTTCAGAACTAATTTGAAAAATACAACATATTTATAAACTAGCCGACTTTTAGGCGAGTATATACTAGCATATAATAATTTTAGGGAAGATACCGGTAATCGAGTATAATGTTCACAGAAGTAAATTATGTTAAAATGAAATATTTTTCTTCTTATCCCACATGTATATATAAATTTAAAATAAATTAGATTTTTAAGATTTTTGTCTTAAAAACTTTACATACATACATGAAGAATAAAATTTAAATATTTTTTAAAGAGCTCCCTGAATTTGAGTTGAACATTTTTTATAGAAGCATTTAACGCAGATTGGAAAAAAAGTAGAAACTGGAATACAAATAACGTATTTATATTTTTTTTAAAATACACGTTCCCACTGATACTGATTGATACTGATAAGTGTCATTTAAGATGTATCTAGTCAATAATATGAATAAAGTACATGGGCATATATTTAGACCTTTCATATTTTGCTACTTATGAACACTTTTTAAATCGAGGAACGTTGTATTGACAAACAAGTTGACGAAGCAACAGTATCAACAGTCTCATTTAAAACCATACTTTCGTAAGTTCTAAATTCGACAAATGACATTGTCAGCAAATGCAATTCATCATTAAATCAAATGATGACTAACTTTTTTCATACTGATTGTTCGGTCATTATTTGCAGATTTTTTCGTTTAAGATGTTTTATTTTTTTCGTTAGTTTATTTTTTTTTTATTTCATTTTCCCCAAATATTATAATTGTTCAGATATAATCATTCTCGAACATTTTTTTTTCTAAATTCACTTAGCTTTTTTTAACCTTTAGTAATCAATTAAAAGTGTTTTTAGTTCATGCGAATTTATTATTACTGAAAGCGTAGATTTTCGATTCCTGCAAAAAGTAAACAAAGAAAACTGACCTTCAAAGTCCATGCAAGACAATATATATATATATAACAACTTTCTAGATGGTAAATGCTTGTTTAAATACACAGATATAAAGTTGAAAGAAGTTCCGAGCTAAAGAAAAAAAAAAGAGATATATTCTTGCTAAGGACAATAAAAGTGACTCAAAACATTTATTATTGCATTTACGTGATGAAAGAAAATTAATGCATACATAAAAGATTTGTAGAATTTAGAGCACATCTAAATAAAACCAAAACGATCGTGTGGAATAAAATGATGAACTTTTTGACAGAAAAGGAGCGGAATTTTTTCAAATAATAAAAAAATATGCATGATTGTAATTACAGCGTATTTATGCTTTAAATGACCTTGAAAACAGGTACATGCACACTAAGAGATCGTTTATCTTGAAAAAATCAGACTTCTTCTGAAATGTTACGAGACAAAACGGAGAAGTACATATTGTTTTTAAAGATTAGATTAAACGTCGATACCGCAATGAATGATCAATTTAACTTCCTTGTCGATGACGATATTTATAAAAGATGGTGCCAGATCTATTAAGCTATAAACAGAGTTGTCCCTTCTCGGAGATAGCAGCAGGTAGGGTAATTAATTAAAAGGAAATATTCCTATTCTATTTCTATTCAAACATAAATTAATTTGTGGCGGGTTTGGGAGAGACTCTCTCTCTCTCTCTCTCTCTCTCTCTCTCTCTCTCTCTCTCTCTCTCTCTCTCTCTCTCTCTCTCTCTCTCTCTCTCTCTCTGGTTTTGTATGTTTTGTCTTTCTCTAAAAATGATTAACTTTAAATTTCTCTGTTGGCTTGAACATATTTTATTGTAATTTCTAATTACAAAGGAATTGGGCACAAGTTCTAAAAAATTATGACGCTCTCTCCCTAATTTCTCTGTTGCTAGCATTGCCATCAATTTTATTGTTCATGAAATTCTTCTCGGTTTGAAACGCTGAGGAATCGGTCAATGTCCATCAAATACCGTATTCATAAATTTTACTCGATGTATATAATGTGTTTATTTAATTTTTTTTTCAAATTAACATAATAATTATGTTTATATTGAACTAAAAATTATCTTTTGAAAGGTGGATTAGATATTAATCAATACTGTGAAGAGCAAAATAAGAGCTAACATTTGACGTTAAACAATTTCAATATAGATACAACCATCTTATTATGTTGTAAAAACAAAAGTATAATTTAAATTGAAGAATACAATATAGACTGTAAATTTTCCCCAAAATTTTCAACATTATTAGAAAATTATTAGTTCAGTATTTATATCTATAGCTTGATTTACCTTTTGTAAAATTTCAATTTTTTGCGAGAATTTTTTATATAATTTTTTTTATTATTTTATGTTCATTGCTACCTTAAATTTTAAATAGTGTTTTGATTTAGAGATTTTCTTAATTAATAATACACAATGTTTCTTTTTGATAGTTAACTATTTTCTCGAAGCGAAGACAAATTAAAAACAATATAGAGTTTATATTAAGTACTATTTGAAAAAGAAATAATATTGTTTTTTCACTCATATATAGAAGCCTCATTTATAAAATGTATAGCTGAAAATTTACTCCTGTAATATGTTAATGACCCTTGATCTGTGTATGGCCTTTTTAATACCAATATACGAGGGGTTATCAAAAAGTTCGTGGACTGAGACTATAAACTTAGCACTATGTAGTCTGTGGTTTCAAAATTTATATGGAACAATATTTACATTAGCTGTGTTTTTCTACTAAGCAAACAGTGAAATTGATTTGAATACCATTTTCGTGTATACTCACGCGTAGAAATATATAGGGAGAAACGTGTGTTAACTTGATGTAACAATGAGACTGCAGCGACGTTAGTAAAAATACAACGATATAGGGCAGCGAGAGATTTAAATAAAAAGTACATTTTAGTTGCTTCCAAACATGAAAAATGTAAATATAAGCAATGTTTTTAAGTTTAGTGTGAATTATTGGTGTGAGAATCACACAGATTTGCACGTAGGCATATTTTTCATGAAGCGCTAGCGCGCTTCATGAAATATGCCTACGTGACAAGTCTGTGTGATTCAAACACAAATAACTCACATAAAACTTAAAAATATTCCTTAATTAAAAAACATAAAAATAAAGAAATGTTGAAAATTTTAGCATGATACCTTTATTCTTTGCAAAATTATTATATAATAAAAACGACATCATATGATCACCCGGCGCTGTCGCCGCTTAAGTTTCATGACGTCCGACAACGTCATTCTTTTTCAATGTCCGCTTCTTCTACTTCATACACTTATTTTGATGAGATTCTCTGGAGATGAGTAAGGACATAAATAAGTCATATGCATGAACAGTGGCTTTCAAAGAATATAATATTCCAATTGGATTTATACATTGAGTGAGATCCTCGCTAATTTTTTAAGAAAAGTAAAATTTATGATTTATCGTATATTCTTTAGATAGAAAAGATGATGCTAACTAAATATTTAAAAATTCATTTACGTACTTAAAGCGGTTTTGATTTTATGGCACTAGTCCACAAACTTTTTGATAACCCATCGTATACCGCAAAAGGAGACTTCCATATGTATTCAGTCTCATTCGAAGGTATGGTCTTGCGACTGGTAAGCGCCACTTAAGGATCAACTCATTACGCCGCGTTAAGAGCAAATCGGAGCACCAAAGAAAAATGCTCAGCGACAAACCTAACGTATAGATGGTCGCTTAAGTCAGATGGGCACGCCAAAGTCCGATTAACATGTTGCGCTCAAAATCATCAACTCTTGGAACTCTTGGAAATATGTGGCATCGCAAATATGCCACAGAAGTACTATGAGGTGATAGATTTTCATTTATTTTGCACCCCTCGAATTTTGGCGCCTCAAACGATCTGGGTATGGGACGACCGTAGGCATTAGAGTGGCAGCAAAGTTACGAGCGATATCTGTATATATTTCGATGTACATCTCAATCTTATATTGCTCTAGATTTGCAAACATACCATACATACAGAATGGGGACATTCCAGTCTCAATAAAAATGTCAGTTGTTTTCTGCTTTCATTTATTTCAAGTTGTACATGAACAAAAAGTTAAAAATTGTATTTACATGTACCAATTTTTATATAACCTGCAAAAGCAGTTGATGAGTGTCGGAACGTATTCGTTTATTTTGTTTTAATTCTTTTAACTGCATGTTAATATGATTTTACAATTGAATGCTTGGTCTTGCTTTTTTGCCATTCATAAAAAATTAGTTTAGTTTTTTTTGTTTTTTTTTAATTTATTCATTCCATGTTCAAAAGGCGATATCAGGAAAATGGAGCAAAACGCTATGTTTGAAACACATTAAAATGTTTATAAATTTACGTTTTTGGTCGTGTTTTAGAAAGGCTAAAGTACGTATACGTATGTTCCAATTTAATTCCATTTTTATCCTAGACCATGCACATACTAGTAAATTGTGGTCAGTAAACCATGATTTTTACAACAATATGAAGATCAAACAGCCAGATAGAACCTCTCCCGACTTGGATTATTTGAATTTTTAGATTATATTTTAGATTATCTACTTTGCAATACAATAAATACATTGAATATCTTGGAATATTCCGTTTGACGAAAAAAAGATGTTATTGTCAATAGAACTTTTTTGACAGCACTCGTGTTGTTAGCTTGTCTAAATTTGTTACTTTTTTCCTTTTTTGTTTTTGCTATTAGTATAGAAATATTCAAAATTTTATTTTACATTAAGTTTAAAAAAATGAACATGGCGACCATCAAAACCCAAATCTCCTGCTTCGGGAGAGTCGTTTATTCAAGGTGGATAAAGTCTGAGTGCCTCGTTTTCATCACATTTTATATGTTTAAAATCTAAAGTAAAGGATATCTTAGGTGTCTATTAATTATCTTACTGCTAAGATTTTCAAATAATTTTAAAACTGTAAATGTTGATACCATTCATGATAAATTACTTAAATAAAAAATATCTATTTTCAAACTTGCTTTCACTGGGCAAAAGAACAAATAAAATTTTCCACCTCCCTTCCTTCACAGAAACACTCAATCCGATCTTTAATGAAATTAAGGAAGTCTTTTCCCTTACTGTACACAAATTATTATACGCTATTGTAAAGGTTATACAATCAATTTACAGCCATCAGTTGAACGAGTTCGACCAAGACAACCATTTTCGTCACAAGTGATATAAATATTGACGTCATATTCACCTATGACTTCATCAAAATAGAGCAAAATATTATCAAGCATATGCTATTTATAGAACTTCTGTTTGGCTATGTGTGTACCAAATTTTATTCTAATCTAAATTGTGAATTTGTAAAAATAGGGATAACGTTCGCGAAGTTTTTAATCACCCTCATATGAATGAAAAATCTCGAGAGGGGCGGGACGTTAAACATCATACAAACAAACGAATAACAAACCTTCTAAAGCTAAATATGACAGCAAACAAGAAAAATAAAATAACAGTTTGTTTGAAATTTAATCATTTTATTACTCAATGAAATTTCCAACTGCAAAGAAACACTTAACAACTCACAGAAAAAAAAATTGCACGAACATACACACGGTCACGGTCTATAAAATGAAAAGACAGTTAAATTGATGATACAAGGGCTTCTACAATTTCATTTGATGGTTGATGTAATGGATTTGTTTTCACATACAATATGTTACTGGCTTTAATGTTGACGAATGTACATTTTTTTTATATTTATCATTGGGCCAGTATTATTTTCATAACAATGAGCTCACCACTGTATTTGCAATTAAATTTAGCATTTTATTTACTGCAGTTATTGCTTTTGTCCACACATTATTGTGTAAATTTCATGCGATTTATAAGTAACTGTTACAAGATATCCCCAGCTAACTCTTCTTTCATAGCAAACAAATGTCTTATTTAGATATAATCGGTAATAATTATAAACATACATTTCAGATCTATACATATGAACAATTTGATGATTGCATGTGAGGTTTGAAATCTAGATTTAAATCATAATAAAGGTTATATGTGTTCATTTTGAAGCCAGATTGACGATCGTATTACATGCTTATATCTGAATTTAAAAGGCGCATACACTGATATGATAAAAAAAATGCAGAAGCAAACAGTCGATACAAAAATATATGTAGTAATAATTCTTGACTCAACGTATATCAATATACATGTGTTGGTGCATAAATTGAATTTCAGGACGTTGAATCGAATATTATCAAATGAATACCATATCTAGCCCTGAATTCTTTAAAGTCAGCTGATACAAACACTCTTTTAAAAAGAAATCTTGTAAATAACAAAATTATATATCAATTTGAGTAAAATGAATAATTTAAATATATTTTAACCACACAAAATTAATTTTTCCAAAGTTTCACAATTTTTTTCGATTTTTGTGACAAAAAATTATACAGATTAATGAGGAACGTTGCAGAATGATTTGAACAGTTTATATAATGTTATTGTTCTATACATTCCCTACTCACATCATTTATAACCAAAACAAAATAGAAAAAAATTGAATACCAATCCTTGAATACATTTTTCTTTACATCCCCTATCCTA